TGGGCTCGGATTACTCGTGTAGAGTTTTTGTCTTGTTGCTTGCGCTGCTGGAGTGTTTTGTGGCGTTCCTCCTGACCTAACCCAACCCAACGCATCCTACTCATATCACCCGTTCGAACTCAGGCAGTTCCCCAATCGAATTGAAATCTCTTGGTCTTACGGAACATTCATATCCTGCTTCCAGGTTCATCCTCTTCAGTGTATCGGTAAGTGGGTGTTATGCTTCTTCTTGGTTTTGGTCTTGGTTTGTTTCTTCGGTGGGGTTTTGGGTTCAGGGTATACATTTACTATGCACATACGTTACTTTTCTTGGGATGTGGATGGATGGGACAAAACTTGCTTCTTAGTGACTGTTGGAATGGATAATGGGATTATCTGAAGCAAGCAGGCAAGCAACTGGGTTCTTGATTCGATTCGATTCGTTCGGCCACTCTTACCTCCTTTTCGATTGCTACAGCCATAGGCAGGTTTTCTTTTCACAGATCCTGATCTGATGAAGTGGGTAGGGTAGTAGGTATAAGGCCCTGCGTTCCAAGTGGCAGGTTACTAACTGGGTCCGAGGGGTTTGGGTTGATTGGGGCGATGGGATGGAGTCGCTCGCCATGTGGGGTCTGTCTGCTGGATTACTTGCTGGCTTCTCTGTCTTGAGATGGGTTGGGTCGGGTTGGGTTAAGGATATGGGTGATGGTTTGGTTGGTTGACTGCTTGTATGGTTGTTCTGGATTGTCTTGTGCGGATGGATGGGATGGGATGGGGAAACAGGGCAGGGCAGGGCAGGGCAGGGCAGGGTGATGTGTGTACCTCCCAGGGAGGAGGAGGAGGGGAGGGGAGGGGAGGGGAGGGAGCGATGTGGCTACGGTAGTTTTTGCCAGCCGGTTCTTGCTTATTCGCCATCCCGGGTCGTCGTCATTTCTGGGATTCATCGATGTCGGGGTTTGGATTCCAAGTTGTTTCCTTCCCTTCGGGGAATGAATGGACGTCATGGGGTCAGGGGTCAGGGACATAGGGTGAGTTGAGGCGGGGGATGGGGAGGAAGGGGGTGCTGGGTAGGGTATCTATCTGGGTTGAATGGAGGAAGCAGGCAAGGTTACCTAGTAGGCATAGCACGGCTGGGTATAGCTTTTTCTTTCTCTGGGTTTGGGTTCGGGTTGGGGTATCAGGAGGGGACTCGAGGTCTGAGGGGTGGGTGAGGAGGGAGTGAGGGAGTGAGGGAGTGAGTGAGTGAGTGAGTGAGGGAGTGGATGGATGCATGTTTATGACTGTTACTGCTTTGAATGTGTTGGACATGGCGTTAACGGGTTTCTCTGGGACAATAGAACTTCTTGTTCTATGCCAAATAGAATCCATTATCAGAGAAAGTGGGAACTCGTAGTCGTCCACTGAGATAATATCGAGCTATAGTGTCTACTAGGTTGGAAGGGCAGACCATATCTGCCTCGCTCTTGATTCTGGTCAAAAAGCCCTTCAGAGGGACTACGACTGTAGTATGAGGACAACATGACGGGGCCTGCATCCATATCCGTCGTGACAGGGCAAGACGGCGACGGCGACGGCAACGGCGACGGCGATGACGACGATGCTGTTCGCCATCTCCGTCATAACTATAACCCAGCCCGCCTCTATCTGGTCTGGTTTAGGTACTGTCCACACCTTTGCAGTCTCACCTGCTGGTCAATTGACTGATGGCGGTAGCATATCTACTCGTCCTAGCTACATTGATTTGCCATCTCGTCATTGCATGCCTTATTGCACATGGGAAATATAGGGTATGCATGCCAAAGGGAGATCGGGACTGCGATGTCGATGCCAAAGGTCGATGGCAAAACAGCGGGAGAAGAGAAGGTCAACCACATCCCTGACCTTATTTGTATTCTATTAGAGTATAAGCAATATCAAAGTGTTTGAACAGTGGCCTGGCTGGGCCAGGCCAGGGTCAGCGTGATTCGGAGCCGATAAGCGTGGCGTCATGGGTTCTTGCAGGTGGGAGGGCGAAACCTCCCCGGCCGAGACTACCTACCTGCCCCTAAAATGAAAGAAAGTTGGAAGAGCCGCACTGCATTGACCAGGGGTCAGTTACCGGGTGTCTTGTGTTGCGCAAGTCGCATCATGGGGCGAATGCGAATGGAAGGGGGTGCCGGTTCCACGAGTTCTTGGGACTATGGGGTATGACGTTTGAGGGTTGAGAGGTTGTGGTTATTGAGTAACGAGCGGTTGCAACAAATAAAATTGTTCCTCGTTGCTGTGAGAAGGGGAATTGAAAGATGACGATGAAGTGAAGTTGGTGATGGTGATGGTGATCTGGACCTGGTCGGGGAGGGGAGGCGAATGGGGTGATATCATCTTGATGGGTGAGGGTGAGGGCGAGCGCCTGCGTAGCCCTCCCTGCCAGCCTCATCCATCGCCCCCTTCGGCGGTTTCCCGCCCACAACCAATGATTCACTCACCAATAATGGGATGTAAAGATGCTACTCTTACTTACTGTCTGGTTATCGTGGTTATGGGTCTTGGAACTTGGACCTTTTGCAGTTTGTTTCTGGATGGTAGGGAAGAAGTGCTCCTGGCAGCTTCTTTCCGCTGACTTCATAGGGCAATGGCAAGCAGCGCGAAACCGTTAGCGGTTCTAGAACATGCCAGTGGCTCGGGGGACTTGGTTTTTGAAGTGGATGATCGTCGGGTTTGATGTCTGTCCATGGAAAGTCACTGTATCTGCAGCATGTCAAAGCGCGTGCTACTGTCGTCGATGCTTTACGCCATCTGAAGTATGTTTTGGTTGGTTGGTACGATGCAAGCTCCGAGGGGATGTTAGGGCAGGGGTTCGATCCACCGTAGGGATCTGATGCTATTCCGTGAAAGCCTCGGGTCTCGGTTGCCTGGATCACTGAAACATGAGCGACGTGGACCGTGAGCAAAGAACCACGATTGCACTCGCGTGTACTGCGAGGCCAGTTGGCCTTTTGGACGTCGTGGTGGTTGGAGGTCGTGGAGTTGGAGCCATTGGGGGAAGGGGAGAGATCGATCTACCTCGTTTGCTGTGAGGTGGATCGACAACGTGTGGGCAATCAAGCGGATAAGTTATGCGCAGGTCTATCGGTGACAAAATGCAGTTACATAGCAGTATGGCCATTGCATTGCTGTGCTGTGTTGTACTAGTTGCATCGTCCGTTGAGCCATTGTTTATGCATGAGTAGATGGAGATATTCCTGTCGTTGAGAGTAACTACTGACTACTACGTAGTGGGCGACTAGCCACTGCGCCGGAAAAATAGTTCCATGCAAGCCCCCCGCCCATGGCGCCCACGGCGCCCATGGTCAGTGTTGGGCTTGCGTCCCTGCCCTCACTCTCGTCGCATTCAATCGAGAAGAAAAAGAAAACCGTGCCTTTGCTGATGAAAATTGAATGCAGCATGATGGGTTGTTTTGATGGGTTTCTCCAGCAACTGGGATGGTCGTGTAGAGGAACAACTATGAAGGCAATGCGACTCCATCCATGACTCGGTGGCACAGCCCGTGACGTCAGGATGGCGGCCTCAGGCACTGGCGCCGGCATCTTCCCGACAATCCACCTTTTGCAGTTGCAGTCTTCATCCATTTCCACTACACGCTTCAGACTCTACCTCTCTCGCTAGCAGAATCCATCCACGGGCCTTTGCTGGAGACATCCGTGCCCAGGGACGAATCAGAAGCAATCGAACTCTTCGAAATCTCACCCATGAGTTCAGAGCCCATCATCACTGATTCTTCGAACTGTTGATCACTCCCCAACTGGGATCCTTCCCCAGCACACCCCAGCACACCCCAGCACACCCAGCACCACCCCCCGATCGGGAGGCCATTCTTGCCTGCAGACGACCGACAGCGCTTGGTCTTCGGGGGATGGATGGCCTCACCCCCCGCTGCATACACTAGTGAATCTAGTGAATTCAGTGAATTCTGATCGCCCCCATCTTCTGTGCTAGCTCCGGCTATGACACATCGTGTTCCAAATCTTTCTTCATTCCCCTGGCCACACCAGCCCGCTGTCAAACATTCGACTCCTACGAGCTCACACCTTGACGCTCATGTCGTCAAATCGCTTACGGGCAGCCACCCTTCCCGCCCCCCCGTTGCAGTGTCGATCTGCAGGGACGGTGCGCCGCAGCAGCGACCACCAGAAAAGTTAGCTGGCGATCTCACAACGCCATGTATCGCAGATGAGCCAGTCGCATTCCACCAGTGACCTCATTCTGCTCCTCGAGGGGGTGGACCGTGGTCCATCCGGGGGGAACGCCGACCCTCGAGCCAGTGGAGTACGGTTGTTTCCGATCAGCATCCTCTCTGATGTAGGACGGACGCCGCCCTAGTCGCCGCCGCCGCAAGCCCGTGCCGATGAATTAAGGGACTCTGCTGGGGAAGGGGCGCCGATTTTTTTTTGGCTGAATCTCAGTGTATGCTAGGCGCGCCTCCTCATTGGCTGTCGTGATGTCATACGCCCCCTCAAGGGCGAGAGCATAACCTCATCCGTGGGCATGGGCTGGTGGGTACTTCCGTTCTGATGTGGGCCATCATGCAGACGACAGTTTGGAACCTACTGTCACGGCATGCACATTGATTGACCACCGTCATGATTGTTGTTGTGATCTCATTCGGTCCGATTGTGTTTCCCGCCGCATATATTGTGCCCTGTCCTCGCACCTTGGACAAATCTATCTTCTATTGAGATGAACTAGTCCCACCTGGGCTTTCACGAATCTTCTTTGTCTATTGTATTCTACATTTCCTATCCAAGCCTACTTCCGCTACGGTCTGCCAAAGGTGAGGCTCAGCATTCGGTTCTATCCACAACATGCCCTTTCTGTATGTGTTTGCTCCTTTGCGTGGTCGGGATGACGTGACATTGATGGTCCAACGACACGCATTGTAGAAGTGTACGGTGTGATAGTGAGGACGTACCGCTAACCTGATGGCGATAGACAAGATAACATGGCCACCTCGATGCATGAAGATCAGTACCACTCGATGCCTCCCACTGGAGGCGAGGCCTGTCGTCCTCCCGGCGACTACCGCGTCCACAGTCACCGGACCACCGACCCCCATAGCTCGGTGGAGGACTACAACCGAGTCATGCTCGAATACACGCAACGCCGGATGGCGGACTTCGCCGAGTTCGACGATGAGAAGGGCTCGTTCCCGAGCCGGAGCAGTCGCAGCAGTCAGACCAGTGGCAACAGCGGCACCTCGACCAGCGGCGTGCTGGCCCGTCAAGCGGCTGGACCGACTTCCGCTTCGGCGGGGTCTCCTCATGCCTAATCGTCGCGCCGCGGGGCCGGCGCGGACTCGTCTAGGCTGGGACCAGCATGAACAGGTCGAGGCTGAGCCTTGACTTAAGTTTGGTGCAACCAGCCTACACGAGTGAACGTTTAATGAAAAGGAGTTTGAGTTGGTGTGCTTTGGGGGGTCAGTGGCTGCTGGGACCTCCCAGGCGTTTCGAATTACTGGATTAGCGAGAACGCCTTGATTTAGAAGCGAAGCGAAGCAATGCCGAGCGACACGCATTGCGCACGATAGAAGGGCGATTTCTCGAGCTTGAGGCTTGACAATTATGACCCGTGTTTTTGTTTTTGTTTTTGATTGATACCTCGAATCGAATGGACTTGATTTACCATCGGACTATTGACTTAGTGGACTTTTTCTGTATGTCCTGTATCTCGCTGCAGAGATGGTTGCTGTCTCACTGAGGTTTGCATTTGTTTTGCATTCCTGGATAGACACGTTGTGTTTATTCGGGGCATCTGCTCCGACCATTGTCGCTCTTTGAGATAGAGATGCTGCAGCAGTGAATGCAGTGTCGAATGATTTGTTATTGGGTAGTTGACTCGGTCGGCGTGAGACTTGTAGTTATCTTGTATGTTTTTGCAGTTAGGACTGGTCCTACAGTCCAATTTTTAGTGATATAAATCTGGGTGGCAGTCTGTCCTTGCATCCACCCCCTTTCTTGCAGCCCCCTATAATTAATGTTAAACTCCAGCACCAGCTAACCATCCCGACCATGAATCGACTGACAACCGCCTGATCCTCTCCCGCTCTTCCAGGATTTAACCCAAGGCCCAACATTCCACACCAGCACATTCCAAACAACAACCCTAACAAACCTAGTCGCGTCCCTGCCGGCCCAAGCCAGTCCACCAAGGGAGGAATTCGACAGCCCTGGCTACCTACATTGCGAAGCTAGACAACCAACAAGCCATGTCTTATACAAATAACGCCACCATCACCCCTTGAAAACACCGACGCCCACGCCCAGCCCGCCAGACCAGAACCCTGTCGACCAACTCCATTCAATCCTTTAGTGGTTCTCTGAATTCCTACCCTATACACTCTTTTGACTAACACGAGCACTTCTTTACATACCCTAATAACCCCATAATCGAAAACATAAACGACAAAAACCAGAACCATGAAACTCTCCACCCTGCTGCTCATCACGCCGCTCGCGCTCGCCATTCCCTTCACGCCTCACTCAGCGCAACTCCACGATGACCCGGACACGGATGCGTTAACCCAGACCCAGGACCAGGGTGAGGGTCAAGGCCAGGGCCACGCCCAAGCCCAAGACCAAGGCGAAGCCGTCAAGAACCACGTCCTGCAGAACATGCGGCCGCAGACGCAAACCCAAACCCACCAGACACATTCTGCCCCGACCAGCACACGCACCAGCACCAGAACCAAGCCCGCAACACCGGACCATACCACCAGCACCACCAGCCCAGAAGCAGAAGCAGAAGCACAAGACATCGACCCCAGCCCCAGCTCCGAGGACGAGGACGACAAGAACAAATCCACAGATAACCCCAACCCAACCACCACTACAGACAAACCCAACCCCAACCCCAACCCCAAGACCAACACCCGCCCCGACGACACCGACAACAACAACAACAACAACAACAACAACAAAGACGAAGACCCCCCCTCAGCCCTAGCCACCGCCATCGCCCTCATCCCCAACCCCAACGCCACCCAGAATCCCGGCACCACCCAGACCTGCCCCACCGGCCGCCCCTCCAAGCAGTGCTGCCAGAGCATCGAGGCCGTTGCCGACTCCGTCCTGCAGCCCCTCGGCGAGCTCGTTCCCTACCTGTCCGGCGTCGACGTCTCCAGTCTTCTCGCTTTGGAGTGTACGTTACCCATCCCCACCCACCCCCCCCTGAACCTCCACTCGCGACCCTAAAAAAGGAACTGGGGGATTTACCGTCCCGGGGGAGGACCCCCGGACCCCCCTTTTTTTCAGCTCCCTGGTACCCCTCATTCTTAAATGCTGGAGGAAAGGGTGTTGCCGGGGGAGAACCCCCGGACCCCTCTTTTTTCCAACTCCCTGGGTACCTACACTCCTGTACACTCGGGGAGAGTAACAGGAAAGAGTCGATTTCCAACTCCCTGATACCCTCATTTCTTTGTACTAGGGGTATAAAATGTATACTAACACGAAATGGAATAAATGGAACAGGCACCGGAATGGCCAATACCGACCCAAACGCCAGCTGCTTCGACTCCGTCATGTGCTGCGAGGGCGTCCCCGGGGTACGTAGCCCCTCCGTTCCTATCCCCAACCCACCCTGGTGTTCTAGTTTCCAGTCCCCCCACCCCAAGCTAACAGATGTGATGCATAGAAAACAACATCCCAACAGACCCTCAAAACAGCCTGCACGACCTGGGACCAGGCCATGGTCGACAAGGCGGACGATGACGCTGCGGACGCTGCTGCTGCTGCTGCTGCTGCTTCTTCTTCTTCTTCTTCTTCGCCCGCTCCGTTGCCGAGTGCGTCGCCGGCGCCGGCGAAGAGGGCGCGGGGCCTGCCTGCGTTGCCTGTCCCTGCGTTGCCGGAGCTGGATCTGGGGCTGGGCGAGCTGCTGGAGGGGGGGGCGGGGGTGTTCGGGCGGAAGGGGAGTGTTGTTGGGTTGGGCGGGGGGGATAATTAGCATTATCGGGATGGGAAATTAATGACCCAAGTACTTGGGATTTAGGGTGTTAGGGAGTTTGAAAGAAGGGGTACGGGGTATATTCCAACACTCAGGATTGAGGTTACCTTACCAGAGAGTTTGAAAGGAAGGGGGGTCCGGGGGTTCCCCCCCGGGACGGTATACTCTACTCTAGCATGAGATGTGTGCTGGGTGGTGGGTGGATTGGGTTAATTGTTTTCCATGGTTATATGTATGTTATTTGAACAGTAATGGATTCTTTGCTGGCTGGGTACATTGGGTGTGAATAGTCTCTATCTACCGCTCTATGGACTGTCGACTACCTAGCGACCGCGTGGGTACTGCTGCCAGCCCCGGCCGTGGCCATGGGCGTGGGCGTGCGATGGGTGGGGCGGGGGGAAGTGGTATGAGCCCGGAGGCATCTGCTGGGCGGCGTAGGAGCCGTGGCCTGGCTGTGGTTGGTACTGGCCCGGCGGGTGGTGGTATTGAGCGGCTGCCGGGGGCTGGCCGGGGGGGCCCTGTTGATATGGCGGTGGGAAGTGGGAGGGCTGTTGCGGGTGCGGGAAGGGCATTGGGGGCGGCGGGGGCGGCCAGGGGCCCTGGTAGTTTGGGGGAGGCGGAGGAGGAGCGTGGGGGAGACCCGGGGGGAGTGCGGCCTGGTAGGAGGAAGGCGGCGGCGGGGGATAGCCCATGGATGGATGGGGAGGAGCGGGCGGAAGGGCATGTGGTGTGGGCGGAAGGAGCGACGGAGGGGGGGGAGGGGGGGCATTGGCGTACGGATTCGAGGCAGGAGCACGATAGCCCGCCGGCGCCGGCTGGGGAGAATACGACCGGGACCGGGGCCGCGAGTCGTAGCGTCGTCTGGGCGGCGACCGGCTGTCGCCTCTCCATCGTCCGCCCGCCTCGCTCTCGCTCTCGCTGTAGCGTCGCTTGTGATACGAGCCCCGACTGCGACTGCGACTGCGACTGCGACTGCGTGTGCTCCTGCTCCTGCTCCTGCTGCGGCTGCGGCTGCGGCTGCGACTGCGCTCCTCCTTTCCCTTCTTGGCCCGTTTCTTCATCTGCTGACAGAACCCCCTCGACCAGCCATAATACGTCTCGCCCTTGACGATCTCGCCACTCAAGCTCTCGCGCACGACGAGCTGGCCCAGCTCATCCAGATCCACGACCTCGTCCTCCTCGTGCTCGACCGCCTCGTCCGCGGCCGCCGCGTAGATCCCGTCCACCTCACCCAGAAACCGCTTCAACGCCGCCACCAACTTCCCGTCGGCGGGGCCCGCCAGAAACTGCAACGGCCGGATGGTGTCCCCGCGCAGCGGCACCGCCTCGTCCGGGATGATATGCGGGATCAGATTGCCGGCGGGCAGGTCATACCACGGGGTGGCGGGATCGCCATGCGTGGCCGGCATGACAAACGGCACGTTCTTCTGGTGTTGTTGCAACGAGGAAAGCTCCTTCTCGGCGACGGCGAGGCTCTCCTCGACGATCAGCGAGGTCTTGACGGGGCCGGACAGCGCCGCGTTCTGCACGACCTCGCGGAGCTTGTGCACGTAGTCGGCCGCGTAGTAGCCGTTCTGGTCCCAGATGTCGAGGAGCTCGTCCAGCCGGCGGTGGTGTTTCGGGTGCTGCTCGCGGGAGTAGGCGGCGGCGGCGCCGAGGAGGTCCACGACGTGCGGCTGCAGGGCGCCCGTCAGCGTCGCGAAGGCGGCGGTCGTCGGGAGGTGGTATTTGGTGTGGTGGAAGAGGTCGTTCAGGAGGTAGAGGATGTGGAGGCGTTTACGTTTCGCCGAGGTTTTTTTGGACGGTGGTGGTGGTGGTGCCGCGGCCGCGGCCGCTGCATCTTCAAATGAGGCCGACAGCGCGACCAGGTACTTGGCCCACACGCCGACGCGATTGGACGAGGAGACCACTTGGTGGTCGATGAGCCAGGTCTTGCAGGCCTAGAATGAGCGGGAGAAAACATCGTGATTTAGTATGTCTTGAGGTGGTTAAGCAAGGGCGAGAGGCGGCGACGGCGGCTCAAACCTGGATGTTTGCCGGGGTGCATTGCGACAGCGCCCGGTCGAGCGAGGTGTGGAATGCGGTGATGTCGTCGCGGGGCACAGAGGTTGGGTCGGGGCGCAGCAGCCCCGCGGAGAAGGAGGCCTTCGCGATGGCAAGTTGATGGGATGCCATCGCTTTGGGTATCGGGTGTTGTTGGTGAGGTGAGGAGGAAGTGAGAGCGGCCGTCTTGCCCGACGCTCGGCGGCGGCGGGAAACCACCGGCTGCACGTGATCCCGTCCGCCCTAGTGTGGTTACAGAGGGATGCAACTGGGGTTGTGTTCATGCTTAAAGTAGTTCTAGTAGGGAATACTGATAACTGCCACTACGAGTCATGGAAGTCCTTTTGTGGGCCAGTGGCAATTACTGACCATTGTGCTTTTTACTCAGTATTGGGTGGGCAACTGCGATCAAGGATGGTAACAGTTACATCAACTGGTTTCATGTCTAACATGAGGGGTTGCTTTGAGAGAGGTTTAGTCTGATAAAGGGTCACTTCAATAGAGGTTGGCCTGATAAGAAATTTACTGCATACACAGGTCGAGTCTGACACAACATACACAACCGACTAACTATTCAACTCGTATACATAACGTGCATCATCTATAAGCCAAAATATACATGCCACCAAAAAGCGGCAGAGAAGCGAAATTAGTATCGTCACATAAACCGAATCCAATCACCTCCTATCTTCCCGAGTCAACCCCTCCACACTTAATACTGTCGGCGGCGGCCGTGACCGCCGATGATGTTGCGGCGGGCCTTGTGCGAGGGAGAGGTGGTGATGGTGGGGGTGTGGCTGGACGCGTGGGCGGAGGTCTTGGACGCGGCCGCGGTGGATGTGGCGTGGGCCGAGCCGCTGCTGGGGTGCGCCTTGGAGGTGGGCCTGGAGGTGGCCGAGGAGCTGGCGACGTGGGAAGAGGAGCCGGACTGCTTGGAGCTGGAGCTGGAGCCGGTCGTCTTCGAGCTGCTCTCCGTCGTGGACTTGGTGGTTGTCGTCGTGGTCGTGGTGGAGGTGATCTTGTCGAAGCCGAAGCATTGCTCGGACAGCGTGGTGGCGATGGACTTGATGGGATTATCAGTAAGGCAGGTTACCTCTCTGCCAGGCATCGGGCACACTTACCGCGATGTTCCAGGTGCTGATCGGGTTCGCTTCGTCGCTCGCGCTCGCGACGTCGGCAACGAGGTTGACACCCGCGGACGGAGTAATCTCGACCGCGTAGTGGTACTCGGAGCCGTCCTTGGAGCAGGCGGCTTTGTTGGCTGGGATTCAGTTAGCACCACCACACTATCTGTTGGACAGGGGTACTCACAAGCCTCAAGGGCCAGGTCGGCACCGACGTAGGGCTGCATGTAGATCCCGGCCTCCCAGCCGTAGCCTTTTGCGCGTTAGCTTTGAAGGGTCTTCCTGGCAGGACTGACTTACTGAAGATCTCGAGCTCCAGCTCCACGGACACCTTGCCGTAGATCTCGACGTTGGCCTCCAGCTTGGCATCAAGGGAGATGTCCGTGGTGGTGACGGTGGGAGACCAGCCGCTCTGCGTGAAGCTGACGGCGTTCTTGGAGCCCTCGTCGAAGGTCAACTCCGCGGTGGCGGAGTCCTTGAGATCGATCTCCACCCCCATGCCGATGGTGGCTTCTCCGTCAATCGGGCCGATCGACCACCCGAGGGCGACTTTGACCATGGGGCCGATCGTGGCGATCTTGGCGATGCTGATGCCGTCAATGGGGATCGTGACCAAGTCGACTTCGTCCGCCTCCGACTTGGTCAGGTTTCCGCCCAGCTTGACCTGCGGCTCGATGTACGCGGAGACGCCCTTGGGCGACAAGGTGGCCGTGGCCTTCTCGCTGCCGGTGATGACGTTCCACAGGCCGCTGGCACCGCTGGTGTACTCGAAGACCAGATCGAACTCTCCCTCGGTTTTGCAGGTCGAGCATCCCGCCGACAGCGAGACGCCGTCCTTGTCGAACAGGGATTTGTCACTGAAGGAGAAGTCCTTGGCGATGTCGATGGTCTTGTCGCTGGTGCTTTCACCGCGCTTTCTCTTGGTGACGCCGCGTTTCGCAATGGCAATCTGCGAGTCCGTGGTGGGCTTGCCGATCTTGATGGCGTAGTTGCGCACGGAATCCTCCCACTCGGTCACGTTGCCGGTGAACCGGGCAGTGTTGACGTTGTCGCGGAAGCTGGCCCCAGTCATGATGAACGGCTGTCGGATGGTGTTCCAGCCACATTGGCCAGCACCGGCCACGAGCATGACATAGTGAGCATCGTCGTCGTTGACCCAGTTCCAGGCGTTCTTGGCATAAGAGTATGAGGTCGAGTCCTGGAATGCAACGGTCACGCTGGCGCTGGTGCCGTTGGTGCAGGTGACGTTCTGCACCAGATCCTTGAACGCTTCCATGGCGAGGATACTCTCATAGTCCTCCAGCATACCCACCGTGAAGTTTCCCAGGATGTCGGTCTCGCCGCCTAGTTAATTCGTATTAGCCTTTGGACACGCAAGATCATAATCTCCCAAACTTACCACCCCAGTAGAATGAGTGCTGGTCCTGGAGATCCAAGGAAGAGGTAGAAGTTGTAGTAGTGGACCCCGACACCGCGATCTTCACCTCGGTGTTGGTGGTCGTCGTCTCGTACGAGTCGATCTCGGCCAATTCCACAGCCAGAGCTTGCTGGTACAAGGCGTAGGCCATGAGGCCCGATGCCAGACCGTTTTGGAGGAGTTTAACCATTTTGATTATGACAACCAGGTCGATAGTCGAAATGAACGAATGAAGAGGGACAATCCCGAAAGAGCGTGTATCACTATCGTGATGGAAAAAGAACGACTGTCGCGGTAGACAAGAAAGAGTGACTGAGAGAGAGAAGGCGATGATTTGCGTGAGTATCTCTGAATCCGCCGACATCTTCTGGTCTTTTAAACCAGGCCACACGGTTGGCCCCCAAGTTCATCCGTTCAGGATCTTTTGGTGGTCTCATGTCAGCCCGGCTCACCTTGCTCCTTTCATTAGACGATCGTCTGTTCGCAAAGAGTAATATTCTAGACTCAGATTGCAAAATGCAGCTCCCAAGGGGCGCAGTCATGGGGGAGCCAACCGGCGGTATCTCTCGTTCCTAGCCAAGTTGGGGGCGGCTGCATAGGGCTTCGCTGAGACCCATCATAGCAGCCTTCGCTCGCAATCCCCCAAGCACATAGACCTTGAATCCTCGTGTTTCTCCAATTTGGGATGCAGAGCAGCTGTCTGGCTTGCGCGGTGCCATACAGAGATCGTGTACCTTTCTTGGCTCACGATTGTGCCTGGTGCTGACAGAGCGAAAAGACTGCATCGTCCAGCTGAAAGGGAAGGACCCTTCCCACAGCAATCTTAGAGTTGTTTCAAGGCCCCTGCTTGCCGTCACGGTAGGATGGATGGGGTATACCAACAGAGGTCAAGCATTCTAATCCATGGGATAGGCTCAGGAAATGCTTGGCTCGGATCCATGCACCCTCGCCCCACCAGCAATTCGCTTCTATTAACAGCGGCATTGTCCAGATCTTTTCACTCGGACTTGAACATCATCCCGTACGGTCTGTATAAGAGTGAAATGAGCATGATTGCCGCTCAGCGATCTGATGCGAATAGGAACAACCGCGATAAAGCCGTGGAGCGATTGAGTCGTGGTGGGCAGGGTATCTCACGGTCCGACGGCCATGGCTGTGTCTTAGCCGGGCGATGATCCTGCCACCAAGAAAAGTTGACATGAGGCTGAGTAGCACATCCATTACACGATATCAGCTGGCGGGCCGAACGGGTTCCTGCTTATCTGCGGCATAGATGGGTTAATCGTGCAACGGCACCGTTCTCGTCAGTGCCCTTTGAGTTGCCCGAATTCTCTTCTTGCTTCCTAGAAGTCATGCATGCAGTACCAACGACCCTAGAAATTTGTTAGCCCTTGTTCTCGTTCAGTGAAGTCAAAATGCGGAAAAGTTACCGTGGAGCTCTGGCTCGACCCCCTGCATTAGGAGGTGGCCCCCACGCGGAAACGGTGCCTTTTGGCCAGAGTGGCTCATGATGAACCAGTGTTTGAGCCTCTGGGGGCCAAACTGGGGAAATTGCGTTAGATCGACACTTCACTTGCAGGGATTTGCTGGTAAAGTCTGTTGTGGAAAGGGGCATTGCCGGTACAATATTGAGCAGTGGTGGTAGTGGTGGTGGAGGTGGTGGGAGAGTTGTAGTAGGCGAAGTCCGGCTGGCGGTCGGTTTGTTTGTTTATGGCCCGACCGCCCGGCCTCGTGGGGGTTAACTGAATATCATCTTACTTGTATTTACTCCGGTCCGATCTCCCTCTCCGAAAGCACAGTTTCTGTGTCTGTAAATATGAAGATTAAATCGAGCGAATGCCATGTGGTGGTGGGTACGAAAATGGGAAGCGGGCTGAGAGGAGATATGCCGCACTTGAGTATAGTCTATAGTGTCTATAGTGTCTATGATGCTGATTTCAGGGACTGCGCAGAGAATCAATCTGTTGTGTTTGATTTTGGTCACGAAGGGGAAATAAGGTGAGCCATGGTTGTATATATTTCGGTCAATGCTGGCAGCCACCCGCGATAGAAGAGTATTCATGTAACCCTCTGGATTGTGCGTACCTGAGAACAGCAGTCACCCCTTTCTTCAATAACACCTCCCTTATAACATGAACTAGAGTCGTATGCAGGCCATCCCATCCACTCTATGATGGTCCCTGCTGGACAAAATGACTACGGTCCCAAAACGACTCGGCTGCACCGGAGCCCGCAACAAGCAACCTATTCCTGACATCGGCAAGCTGCCTAAACCCCGCAGACACGGCGATTTCGCCAGACACGACACCCAGAAACACCGGCAGGCTTTCCATACACAGGACGAGAACGGACTCGGTCAGCCCCGGCCAACCATAACTGTTGGTATAGGCGGCTGCTCCAGCTTTGTAGAGCACATACCCGAGATAGTTCAGTTGGAACAGGTGCTGGTGACTTGATGAAAGTTGTTGCAGAGATTCTAGAGCGACCTGGCCTCGGACTAACTCTAGCGATGTCAATCTTTTTACGAACATTCAGCGCTTTCCGCAATTCTGCTTCATGTTTCCGAAATCGCTTCAAGAGGGGCGCGCACACCTTCTCCTCCAAGTTGGTTTTCCAAATCCGGTTCTCTCTCAGTTTCACAGCCTGCGGTGTGTCTAACTCTTGGCTCAGATGTTCTATCACTATCAACAAGATCAAGACCATTGATTGATTGGAAGGTCTCAAGACTTGGGCGACCCATGTTTGAAGCGTCTCGAAGGACTCTTTCGTTAAACGTACGCTTTCTTGCTGGTGCTTTGTGAAAGAGGAGTGATCACCACCCACAATCCATTTCAACGTGAGGAGACTCAGCATGAGCCGATCCACATTTGGAAGCTCCACATTGAACAATAAGAATGAAGGGGAGAGCTCTCCGTTCGGTAGACGGCCGGATATGCGTGGCTGTCCGACCCTATCAGCTAACTCGGCCTCTCCTAGTAAGGTAATCTCGTTCTCGAATTCGCGCTCGAACTTCCGAATTGCGTCATCATCGGTCAGATGTCCAAGCTCCCATTCAGAAGCGATCTCGGCCAATGACTTCCTGACAAACAGAATCGTAGACCCTTTCCCGTAAAGTAAGTTTACCACTTTCTCATGCTTATTTTGCCTCGCTATGGAGATTGGTGCTTGGCCGTCGATACTTCTTGCCTCGGTGTCTCCACCCTGTCTGATTAATACCTTCAACACATCTAAGTGTCCGTTCCGCGCTGCCAACCAGAGGGGTGTAGCCTGTATTCGAGATTTGCTATTGATGGCAATACTCTTCTCTCTCAGAAGCGTTGACACCACAGCCGGGTGGCCCTTCTCAGCCGCGTGATGGAGTGGTGTATAGCCTTCAAGATCAGGCAAGTTAATTTCGCATAAATTCAGCAAGCGCCTCACAATCGAAGTAAAACCGAACCTTGACGCAAAGTGCAGAGCTGGAAGGCTCTCCCCAATAAGGGGAAGGTTGCATATCTTGGCGAGCTCCTCTTTATACGACATAACGATCCGAAGAAGAGGAATATGTTGTTCTCTGACAGCCCACCCAAGCAGGCCATGGAGAAACGAGTGGCGTGAGCGTCCACCCGCCACCCAGGGATGAAAATTCCAAGTTTCATTGAAACATGTCGCAAGCTGCGTGAAGCTCTCCCACACCAGAGACTTAGGTGTTATGTCTCTCGTCTGCAATGCCCAATTAGATACAGCGTAATCGAGGAATTTGAATTGCTCCCCAGGTGAGTCCGTACGGACCGGGCGAATGGGTAGTTTGATCGAAGCCTTCTGAATCTTCGGCGCACGAAAAAGAGAAAACAAGGAGGACTTCATCGCTTCACCGGCAAGCAAAGCTGGCGAGACTACTGCCAAGCCTGTTGGGTTGTGATCCCGTCCTTGCGTCTCAACCTGTAAGCTAAAGTTTGAGAAAGAGAGATAAGCAACACAGAACTCCCCACATTGGAGATTTCCTCGCGCCTCGCTCTCCAGATATCTGGTCTCATGGTCGGCTCGATGACTCAGAAGGAACTTTTTGACCGACGAGTGCGCGAAGCGAACACAGCCATCAGTAGGGTCCTGAACCACGAGATTAGCGCAGCAGCCGAGCACAAATTCGTCCTGGGGTACTTTCTCGTGATCCCAGCGAGTATCATGGAGATCAAAGGCTACTGCTTCCTTCAGTTCATCGATATGCAATGGTCTGGTAGCAAAGCTGACCCATTTAAGAACCTTCGCAGCCCTGGGATCAGACGCAATCTGCTGAGTACACAGCCTATACGTTTCCTTCAAACCCTTAGGAAGCCGACGCAAGGCGGAGCGCACCTCTGCATCGGTGAAGCATGTCGACCACAAGATTTCGAGAATAAGGTAAACCCATAGAAACCTGCTCGAGTCAGTCTACATACGTCGATTTTGTAGGGTTTCCGACATACATTCCTGAGGCCTCAGTGAGAAGCACGCGTTTGATCTCTTCCAGTAAGGAACAGTCACTGGTAAGCTTTCTAAGCATAGACTTGTCATCAATACTGGCTTTGATATAGAATTCGATATCCTGGGTAACGTGATTGAATGTTGAGATTCGGAGAGCCCACGGCATGAATGTAGCAATGTTCACGTAGCCTGGTACGTGATTCCTGCTCAACAACATGATCTTCGATCCATTGGGTGGGCTGGCAGAACTGAAGGTTGCTCGAATTAGCAGCAACATTTTCTGGCATTCTTGCTGTTCTAGTGCATCGAGTCCGTCAAGAACGTAGATTGTGTTTGGCATGTATGAGAACAGAAGGTTGAAGATTTCTTGCAGGTCATCATAGTCTGGTACCCTTCGGTCTCTTCCAAAAAAACGCCCCAGCTCATGAGCGACATCTGGCGGAAAGACCTGATGCGACTCGTACAAGAGCTGAGCTAATTGCTTGATTAGACTGGCAAGAATGTAGGAAGCCTGTAACGAGCCAGAATGCTCGTTCTCACAATAGAAAAATACTGTAGGACAATGGCAACTGGAGTTCTCAAGTGCGCGATACTTGACAGCCTCAACGACGGAAGCCGCGATGATAGTTTTACCTGAACCAATTTTCCCCGAACACCAGAGGCTGGACTGATCCAACCTTGTAAGCCATGCTTTGAATGTCGCATGGTTCAAGAACCACTGAGTTGTTCCAGGAAGGCGCTTGTAGGCAAGTCTTCGGTGAACCTTATCATGGTCATAGTTCGAGATCCGCCCTAGTAGCTGTCCGATGTCCATGTGTGGACTTTTCTTGCTTATTTCGCCTGCAGATGTTTCCGACCCGTTTGGAGCCATGAGACCATGTTGAGCCAGCTCCGAATCCACATGAGGTGATGGCATGTCAACCACTTGCTTGGTATGAATCATGGACAGAAGCTCTTTGGTATATGCTGCCGCCGTGGCAGCTGCATACTCTTGCCACTGCTTGTTTTTATGAGAGTCTGCATAGTCACAGATCCCTCGGATCACCAAGCAAGGGAAGTTGTCCATCAAACCAGCTGCTTCCATCTCGAAGCAGAGAATACCAAATTCGTTCGCTAATTGATCTCTTATACGACCATTCTTCATTACCTGGTTTGCGGAAGCAATAAGGCCGTAATGAACCACGGGGACATCATAACCTCGATCGGGCCGGCTTTTCCTTCTCCCGAAATCACAGTTCGCGCAGGTTATCTCAGAGTCTTCATGATCATAGTCAGGCTCAAACAGCACATCTTGCTCTGCACCACGGTAGGTGAATCTGTCTTTCATTTTCGGGTACCTGCATATCATCTCAGACAATATGGTGGGAATATTGCTTGGTCTCACGATGTGCTCCGCCTGCAATTTGGAGACCGCAGTCAAAAGTACCGACGGTGGTTTGTTAAGCATGCCGGTTCTTTCAAAGCGGTTGTTGCTTAAAGTCTTTCCGTAGTCGTACTGCACGATCCCGCCATAGTCCCTCGTTGGCTGGCTCACCACCACATCGCCAAGCCGGATGTCGCCTTGTGATGGAGCTGCACCTCCGATGCCGACCATCAAGCCGAACCGTATCGATCTGAAGGTAAATTGAACCTGACTGGCGATGACTGCCGCTGATGTTGTGCCATATACCCCAGCGGGAAGGCATACAATGACAACATTATGGCCGTGTATGCTACCGAAGATATAGCTATTATTGTCACTCAGATCAGTTGGCAAGTCCGGATGTCTCTCGTCAAGCATTGCGGCTGCAGCCGCCATCTCCAAGGGAAGTGCAGAGATCCACGCGATTGTGTAGTCATGATGACGGTGAATCCTAGGGATTGTCGCCATTTCAGTGCTCTTGAGTCGGATCTGTATCGGGAGGCGGACTACTGCCTGTCGATCCAGGGTGTCGATGCACACGCTTCAATGGGCATACCTCGACATTCTCCATTGGTCGACTAGATTGCGTATTCGGCAGCCATTCAGTCGAGCGTTCCCTTCGTTCAAGAGCTATGTAGCCCAAACCAGAGACTAAAAGCCGAAAGTCATGTGTGGCATCATCAGACATGGATTGAGATTGCTGAGGGGAGCGTGAGGCTGAAGCAGCTGGACTAGCGCAGAGGGCCAGCAGGACTAAACAGGACTAAACAGCATTGGTGCCTGAGGCATCGACTATGCGCACAATGCGGGGAAAGCTTGCATTGAAGCGCAGGCCAGAACTCTACTGGGTACCTGGAGGGTTTACAGGAATCTTAGATGTCTTGGAAGTCATTTTTCGATCAAGTCAGGACAAGTGGAAATACCATCAGTCGCTCATATTCCACATAGTCTGAGTTGGAGTAACCACCCCCTTCTGCACCGAACTGAACTACTTACTACTGTGTATGTACGTACTTGGTATGCTGGGTGTGGTCACATGATACGGGGGATCTCTGGCGTCATTCGTCGATTTCCTTCCTCAGCTTACCAATTCCGACATACTCATAACCAACTGCTCAGTAATTCTCATGATCGTTACCTTTTTGAGTCCTGCTTATGGAGCCACTGGCCATTGCTCATTCTCCTTTTTGAGCAATTAGGCAGTCACCTAAACTTAAGTTGAGTCCAGCTACATGTGTTCATGTGTCCGGCCGGATGGTCAACTCCCGCCATCAGACAAACAGTGAGCAGACCGCAATTGCCACGGGCCGGGCAGATGCAGTGCAGCGCCAGTGCCCAACCGCACCAACTACCGCAATTACCCCCAGGTGTGCCTGGCCGGATCTCGAGTCGCCGGACCCCACACTGGAAACTCTGACTCTGCTGGGTACGTACTGTCCTCAGTAGTAAGTTAGAGTCTGTGGACGGACTGTGGACGGACTGTGGACGGACTGTTACGAGTACTCTCCCCTCCCTTTCCCTTTCACGTCTTCGGCCGGAACTTGTAGATCATCTGCCCCTCTTGTTGATGGCGTGAGCATGGCAAATACGCATTCCTCGCTGCACCCGCACCTTGGTTGCGAGGGGAGGGAGGAGGGGTCATCGACAACAGTATGACAACAAGGTCCTTCCTCCTTATCCACTGATGGTCGTAGGGGTCAATTGCAGGTTGGAGTTGAAGTTGCACTGGAGTACCTTGTTAGGTATGTGAATCCTTCAATCCGCCATCGACTGGCCAGATGCATCCAAGACCAATAGGGTACCTGCTTAGCTCAGTTCTGACATGCAGGAAAATCAGTAAAAATGAAGAGCGCACCTCAGATGACACTCGCTCCCTCCTTCATCCCAACTGCCTATGCTGCAAGCCGATCGATGTTTCGGCGGCTGCAGGAGCCATGGAGCCATGACGATTGAGGACCGTTTTTCCGCGTGCGCGTTATTTCTTTTCCCCTTTTTCCCTTTTTCTCTTTTTTCCTCCCCTCCAGCCAGTTCGCAGGTCGATGAGTGGGCCTCAATGACCCCCATCTGGACCCTCCCCGCAACTCCTCCCGAAACACGCTCATGCTCATGCTCATGATCTGATCTCGGAATTCCAGAGTGACTCCTCTTATTCATACAACCGCCTCAACTATAAATCCCTCATGGTTCCCACTCTCCGCAGGGTGTTTTCATTCTAGCTAGACTTGATCGATCCTCTACTATACCTAAATTCGAGTTGCCTTACCTCAACTTTCCACAAAGCTGCTAGACCGACACACACCCCATAATACAATACATACCTCGAACTTGTTGTCCACCTCATCGCGTCGCATCGCATCGCATCACACCAGCCTCCATCTCCAACACCTTGCCCCTCAAGACCATCACAATGATTGCCATCCAATTTGCCCGCCCTACCATCCGCCATTTCTCGGTGCACCGTCCGCGCCCCGACACCCGCACTTCCCGCTTCATCACCAGTTCCTGCCTCTTCTCGGCGGTAGTTCTTCCCTTCATACCTCCGGCGCTGGAAAGCTCTCGGGAAAAGAGCAAAGGCTATCCCACCCACAACAAGTGAGTCTCATAATCCGCGCGTGGTGATCGCTGCAACCCTCGACTGACGGAATCGTTCCTCTCTATCAGGCCACACCCCCCACTCTGCTTCCATGCCCGCTAGACCGCATATATCCGTTCGGATTTAATTCCACGAGTGGGGCCATACTTGCAGAGACAGACACAACATCACTTTCCTCGTGTCATCACGCCATCCTTCGATCTTCCTACCGTCGGATTTTTGATCCTTTTTTTTCATTGTTGGCTGGCGTATGGGTACTGGCATATACCTTTTTCCTTTCCTTTTTTTTTTCTTTTTATCACTCTCTCAAACGACATTTGCTGAGAGAATTGCATCATGAGAAAACCCCACATATGGATCTTCAGGGGCATCGAGGAACTTGTCTGGCTGGCGTTTAGCTTGCGAACTTGAATAATTTCTTTTGTTTGGCGTGACCGTGCGAGAAACGCTTGTTTTTGAGGGGAGAACTGCGTACTGGACAGGTTCCAGTGGCAGTTATGCCGAAGGGGCGGATTCTTTTGTCTTTCCCCCCGCGGTCTCCTTTCATTACCGCTACCGGAGGTGCAGTTTGCCCTGAGATAGTGGATAACGATGATTACGACTATGAGATAGCTAGCTGTCTAGCAGCAATACAATTCGCGTTACTAATCAACCAAGCGATTTTGCACGAGAATGATCATCCAGGAGTCGATTTGTTTTCGGATGTAGAAATAAATCAGGCTCTAATTTCCCCGGAACTTCACGAGATCCAAGACATGCACGAAGTAGTGCAGACCGCAGAGAGAATCAAGCTTTCCACCGGAAGTAATCCACCCCCACGAGCCAAGCCATACGTGCACACGCGGATACGCACATCCATCAAAGAACCGATACCCGGAAACGGCAGAACCTATACATTTAGTAAGGGAAACATTATGGTACAGTAGCACACACGAAAGACGTCACCGGCATTTTTCGCGCTCCCTTCCTTCTTCTCAGACCAAAACCCACCCCCTCTCTATACCTCGTTGTTTTTGTTCCCATCTACTTCCTAAAGCCGGTTCCCCTTCGGCGGCCGAAACGGCTGCGCGGCCTCGTACTTCCCCTTCTCCAGCACGCGGTCGGCCTCGGTCTCGGGCTCGTGGCGCGTCGCGGCCGGATCGTGGCTCGCCTCGGCGCTGGGCGAGGCGACGTCGTCGGCGGCGTTCTGCTGCGACCGGGCCAGCTGGGCGGCGCGCTTGTGGCTCGGGTCGTCGGAGGGCACGGGGGTCGGGGTGGTCAACGACACGGCGGACTGGCGGCGGTGTTCCGCTTCCATCGCAGCCAGCTGCGCTTTGCGTTTCATCTCCGTCTCGAAGCGGGTTTGGCGGTCCGCGTTGATGGATTTCTTCGCGAAGTAGTAGGCGCCGCCGCCGGCTTTTTAAGGGTGTTAGTTTCGGTTGGGAGGGAGTTTGGGGTGTGGTGTGGTGATTGGGAGGGAAGGGTGTGGTGGTTCGTTGCGTACCGACGCAGAGAGTACCCCATCCGATCCTGTTGGGTTGGGAGTCGTGTTAGTTGAGGCGCATCTTGAGACGGTGCAATGGCATGGCTGTGGTGTGTTTGTGTGTTTTGCGGGCTTCACCTTACCAGGTGGATTTGATCTAGTTGTTGAGCGAGAGGTGAGGTTAGCGAGCTTGAACCTTGCCACCTAGGTGGATGGGTAGATCCAGTCGGTCACATACCGTGTTCATCTTGGATATATTGACCACTTCCTGCACACAGTGTCAATTCAAGGGAATTTGAAGATCGAACTGAGGACTAAGACGGGGAAATTGAATGCGAGCCTGAGATTATTGAACTACGTCAATCACTGCCGAAGCCCTTCGGCCGAAACGCTGGCCAATCGAATTGCCCACACGGCCCCGACGCCACATGCAGCTGGTCGGGGCTGAGCAAATCCCATCGTTGCCTCAGGCTGCCGTACACCGCCGAGCCGAGCCTCGCCTCTTCCGCTCCGCAATCAATCGATCTTCTTTCATGCTCCTCTTCTACGCCTCCTCCTTCACCCTTCACTCCCTCCTGTCCCTTATCGACCACCGCCATCTATACCACCAGCATTAAATAAAAAAGCTGGTAGGTGCTTTTCGTCTGATCGGGATATGGTCATACTTATTTGAACGGCTCACTAAGGGCGCCGGTAGCCTGTCGGGAGCAAATTCGATACCTTCCTTGCCTCTGTCGCGACCGCGCGGAATCGCTTTCGCACAGTATAGAAAAATTATAGACCTCATTTCTCAGGAATAATCCTTCGGCACTGCGGGACCGGACAGAATGCCGCCGGTCAAACGCAAAGCTTTAGATAGTATGCCATGCCCATCCCACCGCCACCATTCCGGGGGGCGTGTCAGAGCGATTCCATTCTGACTTGTACAGGTGGTCGATCGAGTCGAGCCTCGAAGCGCGCCACCCCCGTGCCTGATATCAGTAGCGGTGATGAATATTCGGACTACGAAGAGGATGTCAAGGAAGATAACCTGAAAGGTAAGCAAGCTCAAGGGCGGAACAAGAAGGGGAGATAGGCCCAGAACGAAATCACTGACTTACACACCTCCGGCGTTTTGCTCACAGATGTCGTGGAGAAACTCAACATCGAACATTTCAGCAAAAAGGGCGGCGGCGCCATCCAGAAGCAGGACCCCAACTTCGGATACAAGGACTTCTCGTCCCTGGCGTTGAAGCCGGACCACGCGAATCGCCCCCTCTGGATCGATCCGCTGAAGGGCACCATCACCCTGGAGAGTTTCTCCCCGCTTGCGCCCCAGGCTCAGGATTTTCTGACCACGATCGCCGAACCCCTCTCCCGGCCGACGCATCTCCACGAGTACCGGTTGACGGGAAACAGTCTGTATGCCGCGGTGTCGGTCGGCCTGCAGCCGCAGGATATCATCAACTTCCTCGATCGGTTGTCGAAAACGCCGCTCCCCGAGACCATCAAGTCGTTCATTATCGATTTCACCAAGTCGTACGGAAAGATCAAGGTGGTGCTGAAACATAACCGGTTCTTCGTGGAGAGTACCGACCCTCAGATGCTGCAGATGCTGCTCCAGGATGAGGTCATCGGGCCCCAGCGATTGCAAGGGTCGGAGGGTATCATCCAGCAGGCGGCGCCGAAGATGGGCGGTCTGGTCATCCCCGGTACCAAGGATGCGGCGGGTGTGAAGCAGACCACGGACCAGAAACCGGCCGAGGATGCGGCGGGGGAGGCGCGGCGCGAGGACGACATCCTTCTCGCCATCCGGGACGATGACGACGATGAGGAACAAGCACAGGTGCACAGCTTCGAGATTCCGAACGAGGCCGTCGAGCCGGTCAAGGCGCGCTGTCAGGCCATGGGTTGCCCCGCGTTGGAGGAGTACGATTTCCGGAACGACGAGATCAACCCGACGCTGGATATCGACTTGAAGCCCAACGCGCGGATTCGAAGTTACCAGGAGAAGAGCTTGAGTAAGATGTTCGGTAACGGACGTGCCAAGAGTGGAATCATCGTCCTGCCGTGTGGTGCAGGCAAGACCCTGGTGGGGATCACGGCGGCCTGCACGATCAAGAAGGGTACCATGGTCCTGTGCACCAGCTCCATGTCTGTGGTGCAATGGAGAAACGAGTTCTTAAGGTGGTCGAACATCGATCCGGGCGACATCGCCGTCTTCACCTCGGACAACAAGGAGAAGTTCCGCCGGTCGACCGGTATCATCGTCTCCACTTACTCCATGGTGTCTCAGACGCGGGCGCGATCGCACGATGCGCAGAAGATGATGGACTGGATTCAAGGGCGTGAATGGGGTCTGATGATCCTCGACGAGGTGCACGTCGTGCCTGCTTCCATGTTCCGAAAGGTCACATCCGCCATCGCGTGTCAGAGCAAGCTGGGGTTGACTGCCACCCTTCTGCGTGAAGACGACAAGATCAAGGATTTGAACTTCCTGATTGGTCCGAAGCTGTACGAGGCGAATTGGATGGAGCTGGCCGAGCAAGGGCACATCGCCAAGGTACAATGTGCCGAAGTGTGGTGCCCCATGACCACCGAGTTCTATTCGGAGTACATGCGGGAGAAGTCCAGAAAAGCGGCCTTGCTGTACATCATGAATCCGCGAAAGTTCCAGGCTTGTCAATTCCTGATTGACTACCACGAGAAGCGCGGGGACAAGGTCATTGTGTTCTCGGACAACGTCTATGCTCTCGAGCGGTATGCGCTCAAGCTGAACAAGGCCTACATCTACGGCGGCACGCCCCAGAACGAGCGCATGCGCATTCTCGAGAACTTCCAGCACAACGAGCAGGTCAACACGATCTTCTTGTCTAAGATCGGCGATACCTCGCTTGATCTGCCGGAAGCCACCTGTCTTATCCAGATCTCGTCCCACTACGGTTCGCGTCGCCAGGAGGCTCAGCGCTTGGGTCGGATTTTGCGGGCCAAGCGTCGTAACGACGAAGGCTTCAACGCGTTCTTCTACTCGTTGGTGTCGAAGGACACGGACGAGATGTTCTACTCCTCCCGGCGCCAGGCATTCTTGGTCGATCAGGGCTATGCCTTCAAGGTGATCACCCATCTGCAGGGAATCGAGAATCTGGAGGGCCTTGCGTATGCCACGCCTGCGGAACGGCGCGAGCTGCTGCAGGAGGTGATGCTGCAGAACGAGACGTCCGCGGAGGTCGAGCACGTCAACGACGATCTGTTCTCCGAGCGCTCGGGAGGCGCCCGGGCTCGCAAGGGCGCCGTCAAGCGGAGCGCGGCGACTCTCAGTGGACTGGCGGGTGGCGAGGACATGGCCTACATCGAGTACAACCGGAGCCGGAACAAGCAGCTCAAGGACAAGGCCGGCCACCATCCGCTGTTCCGGAAGATGGAGCGGGAGCGACTGAAACGGAAGAAGGAGTTGGAGGACTTCGTGCGGTAGCTATCTTTTTTTGGTACATATTTGGAAATAGTATGGCAGAATGAACAGCTTGAGCATGAACTATATAGGCGGAACTATAAATACAACAAACAAAATAAAGAAGCCACACTGCGGAAGCGGCCATATTTTGATAGCCACTCCTGGTGCAGTCTACGAAGACACAAGTAGAGGCGGGCTACTAATTCTTGGGCCAGGATAACCTATATTCTAGGTAGTTCACTCACAAATCACCCAGCAATTCTGCAACATACCCGGACTGACCTAGTCAGCGAATCTCGACCACAGAGTATACTATACTCATACTCAAGATGACACCGCCGGCAGCCCCGAACGACGATCTAGATCGCATCCCACATCTCAAGGGCCGCTCCCCGATCCCCAGCAAGCCCGCAAGCCGGCAAGGCCCGAAGGCCGAGCAAATTTATAAGCACATCGTATTATCATGGCTCCGACGCTCCGATCATGCGACCCTGTTTCACCACAATTCACCCGACTGTTTTCTGGGGTTGACACCTAAGTTAGGTCAGCTTGAATCAGAATGACGTTTCCCTTCCCGAGGTGGACGGAAGCTCGCGCTTAGTCGGTCTCCGCAAATCAAGCAGGTAATTTGTTTTTCCTGCCAGGTGCTTGGCGGAGGATCTCCAGGGTCCCACGCGCATTCGACTCGATTCGCTCCAGCTTTACTTTCTGATCTCGCATCTCGGTCTCTAATAAACCCTGGGCTCGTCAGTCCAGCCCAGACCATATTTCTTATAAACCTGGGGAAAGGGGGCTGGGCTAGATGTGTCGGATTACCACACATATTACTACTGCTCGTCCACGGACTAGATGCACTACTATCTGTGGTGGTAGCATCGGATATAAATCTCCTGCGGTGGGACTGTTACCCTCCGTGCTAAGCAGGACGTGTCATACAACAACTGGAAGATCAGGCGCAGCCACTCCTGCGATACCTCGCACCGCGCTACGGAGCAACCGGCATACACATACACCAACCCGTCTCGCCCGGTATACAACGTATCAACCACCACCACAAACACCAACACCAACGAAAACAATGGCAACAGCCCACCAAATCCACCTCTCGCCTACGACGACCACGGGCATCTTCTCTGTGGCCGCCACGGACAGCGGGAAAGGGACTGGTCCCAATGAAGCCTCCGCCCGCGCAACCAGCGAAGTCCTCCAGCATGACCTCGAGCACCACCACGTCTTCTTCAATGATCTGGGATTCCACAGTACCGTCCCTTGACCCCTCTTTAAAAAAAATACCATGCTAATCCAAGGGGAAGACCACATCGTCCACCACATCCTAAGCATCTACGCCCTCGGCGCCTCGGTGGAGGAGATCCGCGCCGCCTACGAGCGCGACCGCGCCTACCAGCGGAAAGCGATCCCGGTGGACGAGGCGGTCGTGGCAAAGCTGGCCGACCGGAACCGGTTCCTGGGGCTGCTGGGGATGAAGGAGCATTACTCGAATTTTGTGAGATTCTTTCAAAGGGAGATTGAGCGGGTGGGGGTCGAGGAGGTGTTAAAGGGATTTTTGTTTGGGCAGGATGAGGTTGCGAGGGCGATGTTGGGGAGGCTTTTTGGGGGTTTGTTTTCCCTTTTTTTTTTTCTCTTCTTTTCTTTCGGTTCTAGTGGCTGTTACTGGAGGTTGAGGGGAGGGGGAGATGTCTGGTACGGTTGTTTGGGGGAGTGAGTGAATTGGCTTGCTGACTATTGATGCGGTTGCTGCCACAACCTAGGGCTGATCCATCCGTTCATCCACCTGGGCTTCGGCCTGGAATTCGAGCAGCCCGCCATCGTGGCCGAGGCGCTGGCGCAGACGGCCATCCACGAGGACTGGACGGGCCCGCTGTTCTTCTGGCCGGCCGAGGAGCGGGCCGGGGGGGTCGGGCGGCGCGGGGAGAAGGGCCTGCTGGCGATTCTGGAGGCGATGCGGCGGGACGAGACGCTGGCGCGGTCGGTGCAGTGGGAGGATGGGAACAAGATGCACGACGGCGTGTTGTCCCGCGCGGGCGAGGCGATGCTCGCGTACGCGGCCGAGTACTCGGTGTCAGCGGAGCAGTTGGAGGAGCGGACCGCGGAGATGATCAACACCGTGGGTGAGTAGTCCTTAGTCATTGCCCAGATTCGGGTTTTATGGTTTTGTTGACGGCGTCCAGTCTACTACACCAGCGCCGCCCAACGGCCCTCCAAGCAGATCAAGTTCGACTTCTTCTACCTCCACAGCCTCAACTCCTCCATCTTCGTCTCCAAGCTCCTCACCCTCCCGTTCTTGGACACGCAATCCAAATGCCGTCTGCTCGAATGGAAGGGCCGTCTCGACCTCCTCCTCTACGTCTCCCGCGGCGTCCCGGAGTTGTACCTGGATGAGATCCGGGCGTATCCGACCGCGCACAGCTGGGCCGAGATCTTCGCCTTCTGCAACCGCCACCCGCAGGATGACGGCCACCTGGCCAAGCTGGTCCGTGCCGTCGCCCACGGCGAGCGGGCCTGTCGGCCGTTTGAGGAGCAGTGGCCGATCAAAGGTGATATGTGGCTGCGCATTGCCAATATGGGTAGGTCTACGCTCCCCCTCATAATCAATATAGACTACCCGGCAGGGCTGTTCGGAAGGTACTATTCTAAAGCATTGGGGCTAACTAGCGGGGATCCACTTAGCAATGGACTCAACATCCGACCACGATCACCACCCGATGTGGGTCCGATCCACCGGGTTCGACCAGGCCTGGCGCGAATTCGACGGGCGAGCCGAGCTATAGGGAAACGCGCTAGGCCTGCGTCATTGGTAGGGTTCTGAAGGTCATCCATGATGGTTGGGGAGGCATGTATTGGGGTTATAGCGAGCTATAATTAGCATGATGAATGGATAGTAGAAGCTTCATGAACGAAACGAAAATTAGAGAGAATCCGGACCTGACGGTAAAGAACAGAGGCGAAGGGTCGAGAATTCTGGAATGGCTTTTTGCAGCCGGCACTGCACTGCAGCCCCATCGGGCGAGGATCACGTGGTGGGTGGGCGGCTGTGGATTGTATTGTATTGTAATTGAGCTGTAGCTGGGGTGTATTGTAATGTACAGCAGTCACCTACACTGTTTGTTCTCCCGATATCTGGAAGCCACGCCAGGTTCGAGTGACTTTCTCCGTTTTTGCTATTGATCTTCTTATAACGTCTCGGTGATCTTGACAAGTGGTAGGGAGACTGGTAGATGATAGCCACAGTAGGCTTGAAGTCCCAGCACCTGCAGTGTAACTGATCACGTGTGTCGGTTCAGTTGATGTATCTACCTGCATCAACAGCCCCGTCAGCCAGCTCGCTCTACCTTACTTACCCTTGGATTTACAACATTGACCAAGCACAGCTCTCCCTGCATCTGCCCCCAAGACAGCTATGTTCCCCAAGCTCCGATCCTATCTCTCCAAGCCTCCTCCTCCCTCCTGCACCTTCCAAATCCTCTCCGACCTCCACCTCGAACTCAACCAGCAATATGTCTCTTATGAGATTCCTGCTTGCGCTGAACATTTGATCCTCGCAGGCGACATCGGCCGTCTGGCTGACTACGAGCATTATCGCGATTTCTTGCAAAGACAAACAGACCGCTTCAAGGCCGTCCTACTCATCCTCGGCAACCATGAGTTTTACGGCCTGTCGATCGCCGCGGGGCTGGACAAGGCCCGGCAGCTGGAGCAGGAGCCCTGCCTGCACGGACGGCTGATCGTCCTCGACCGGACACGATATGATGTCCCGGGGTTTGATGTCAGCGTGCTGGGCTGCACGCTCTGGTCCCACGTGCCTGATGGATCGCGGGAGATTGTGCAGGCGAAGATTCGGGATTTCCGGAAGATCGAGGGGTGATACTTAATACTTCGAGGACTTGGGATTGAGGTTACCAGGAAGTTGAAAGAAAGGGGGGCCCGGGGGTTCTCCCCCGGAATACTTAATACTTCAAGGACTTGGGGTAGGGGGATACCAGGGAGTTGAAAAGAAGGGGGGTCCGGAGGTTCTCCCCCGGGATACTTTATACTCTTAAGCGCTTGGGATTGAGGTTACCAGGAAGTCGAAAAGAAGAAGGGTCTGGGGGTTCTCCCCCGGAATACTTTATACTTCAGATTGAGGTTACCAGGAAGTTGAAAGAAAGGGGGGTCCGGGGGTTCTCCCCCGGAAGGGTATATTCTAGGATTTTATATTGAGAGGGCACTGTTGAAAGTATAGGTAATGGTGATGTTTCATGTATTGTATCTTACCGTGCTGTAATGACTTGGGTGGCAGCCTCAGGCGGCAGTGGCGGGCGGTGGAAGGAAGGAGTGGGGCGATCTCCCCAACAAATGCCTCGAGCCCGCTTTTTATCTACTCGCCATCCCCTCGCTTGGCCTCGTTTCATCCTCCGAAGAAAGCAGTGCTTTCAATTTACCTGTCACATCAACCCATCTTGCTTCTCTCTCAAAAAGCACACACATCATGGCTGGGGACGACACCCAAAACAACAACCAAGACACCTATCCCACCCACCACAACCACAACCAACACCACCACCACCACCATCACTACCACGGCTGGCCCGAAGACGACAATCCCTTCGTCGCGATCCGGCGCTTCGCCGATGAACAGATCTCCTCCGTGCTGCAGTCCGTAACCGGTCTCCCCTCCTCCATCAACCCCCCGTCGGAACGCTGGGCCATCTTCGACGACCGCCCGCGGGACAACCCTCGCAACCCCAGCAGCCAGGAAGACAGCGACTGGGACCATGCCCCGACCGCCGTCGCGGCGCACCACCACCACTTCTACCCGCGCAACTACCGCAGCGACGCCGACTTCTTCTTCAACTCCTTCTTCGACCGATTCTGGCTGGACGCGGACACGGACAATGACGACGACGAATTGGGGACATCGCGGCGCCTCCTCTTCCAGCCCTTTCCCCACCGGCCCATGCTGCACAACCTCATCAGCGACGCCTCGCCCGCCTGGCCCGTGCCCTACCTGATGTTCAGCCCGTACTCGCCGCTGCATCTCGAGCGGCGGCGCGACCGCGGGGAGAACAGCCGGGGGGTGTTTTCGTCGCTGATGTCGTCGCTGAGTCTCTCCGAGGGCGATGCTGATGCAGCTGCGGAGCTGGAGCCGGAGTCGGAGCCGCGGTGGCGCGAGGCATTCGAGGATCTTCTGCGGCTGGAGAACGGGAAGCCCATGGTCGAGCGGGAGGACATGACTAGTACCAAGACAGTGACCCGGGAATCCGGAACGGAGTGGCTGCAGGGTCTCGTGAAGCGGGGCAGTCTCGGCGACCGGTGGAAGTACGTTTCCGGTGGTTCTGGCGGTGGTCAGCCGTCGTGGTCGACGATCACCTTCGACAACTCGCAACTCCTGCAAGACGAGAAGATCCCGACGAAGAAGGCGGAGGTCATCGACACGGAGGACCTTGCCCAGCCGGCTGGCGGGGCCGACGCGCTCACGGAGCAGGATCTGTACGACCGGTTCCTGGACGATCTCCAGGCCCGCGAGCAGGCGTTCGCCCGCGAGATCCACGAGAGTCCCCTGCTGCGCTTGTTGCTGGACGACCGCCGCCGCTTCAGGGAGTTGGCGCCGCGCGAGGGGCTTTTTGGTCGGCAGCAGGACGACCAGTCTCTTACCGGTAATGAGAGTGAAACCGCACACAAACCCTACGTGATCGCCACGCAGACCCGCACCGAGCGCGTCCGCCTCCCCGACGGCGCTATCCAGACCAAGACGATTCGCAAAAAGCGGTTCTCCGATGGTCGCGAGGAGACGAATGAGTCGGTTGACGTCGTGAATCCGCGGCAGGGCGAGCAGCCCCCACAGTTAGATGGGGATGGTGGCGCCGACCAGAGCAAGGACGGTTGGTTCTGGAAGGGCTAGCTTGGCGGTCCTGCTTCCACTTTCTTTCGCCTGCCTGGCCAGGGTTTTTTTCCGCATTATTCCCATTTGTCTTCTTGTTTGCTTGGTGATGTCGCTTAGCGTTTCTCGTTCTTGTATCATTATAACTTTACATTGCATTGAAAATGTTTCTTCTGTCTAAATTGGGTGTGTGGAGGCACATGCAGCATGCGTGTCTAAAATGTGAGTCATCAGTCACAAGTTAATTGATTTGAGGTGTGGCCGTTCATTAGAGTATGGAAGTTAAGGCTGGAAATTAAAGCATGGCAATCATTGCTGTATGGGATTTCATCGAGGTATGAGGTCCATCCGGGGTAAAGTAAAGTATAATATAGCATAGCATAGCATAGCATTCTCCATATCCCATGGAGCAGCGTCAGTGTTAGTGTTAGTGTACATTGTATTTTATACATTGTATACCTACCCACGAACAAATCCAATGGACAACTCACTTCAGTTGTACCGCGACCTGCTTTCAGGCCCTGGCATGGTCCTTCACGAGCAGAAAGAGCTCGCTCAGCGAAGTTCACCCCATAGATACTACATAAACCTGCACGCTTTCGATAACGACCTCCGACATGGTGTAAAGGTTAGCATACCTGTCTCTCACACAGGAGATCGGGGCTCGATTCCCCGTGTCGGAATCACATGATCAATCCTTTCTGTCACTTTTGCTGTGGTTGTTTTTTACCCCTCGGTTGTACCGGGGAGCGGAAGGCGAAATCGTCCAGTCCATTCAGGGCTGGGCTGGGCTGGGCTGGGCTGGGCTGGTCTGAAGGATGTAAGTGGAATCTGCTTCGTATGCATTGCCGGCATTTGAGTCAGATGTTTGTGGGAGCACGGACTCAGGTTTTCCTACAGCATGCACCTGATTGAGAATGAGCTCAGGAATACTATCAACAAATCCCGTCCACGTTAAGATAGTTATAGCTAACCTAGCTATTCCCCAGCATTGTATTGTGCTTGCTCTGTAGTCTATGCCCTGCCCTGCCCTGCCCTGCCCTGCCCTGACTGAATATTGTCATCCTAAGTAAGCATAGCTAGACCACCGTAGAGCTTTGGATCGAACATCTACATCTACCAACTTCTGCATCTACCCCTGACATACCTTCCTTCCTCTGGGCAGTAAACAAAGCAGCCTCAATCAGCCTTCACGCTCTTCTTCTGCGCCTTGCCCGCCGTCCACCCCTTCTCCTCCCAGTAGGCGACGCTCTCCTCCATTTTCTTGTACGCCCAGGTGAACGGGGGGTCTGTGTCGCATCGTTAGCCATGATGAAAGCACTCATCGCCCAACCCAGTACCCAAAAAAGCCAGGACTCTCAGGAAGAAACGCAAGGGAAGAAGGGGAGGGAACGTACAAAGAAACTGCCGCAGATCATGCCGATTGTCGTCCGGCGAGTACCCCTCGGCGTGGTAGCTGGGGGTCAGCACGGTCATCTTGTGGCGGTTGATGCTGTAGTTATAGAAAAAGTGGCGCGTCTTCTCGTACACCTCGCGGGGGCTGAGCTCGTGGCCCCATTTGTGCAGCAGGCGCTCGTACATCGACCACGGCCCCAGCTTGGCGACCTTGCGCAGCTGCCCGAACACCGACAGCTCGGCGTAGGTGACGCCCATGTCGGCCTCGTCGGACTGCACGTAGGTCTGGGTGATGGGCTCGAGCTCGGCGGTGGGCGTGGCGTGCAGGAACTCGTGCAGGATCGGCAGGCCGAAGGCGGTTTGGGCCCAGTGGATGAACTTCTTGAGGTCGACTTTGCTGATCGAGCCGATGGGGTTGAGCTGGCGGGGTTAGCTTTGGTGAAGGGGATTTGGGTGAAGGGGACGTACGTCGGCGCTGCTGGCGTCGTATTTGGTTAGGTAGCCGCGGAGACTTTGATGGTTAGTGTACGGCAATGGTCAACGGTGGGGAATGCTCTACACACCATTCTGCAAGATTGTTAGCACCGATCAGCCACAGGATTGTTCGGGGAAGTACCATCGACGTTGGACGATCCCAGCACAAGCAGCCCTCCACCACCCGGCCGCTGGCGGACCGTCGGAAGCATCTGCGCGAACAGATAGGAGAGCACCATTCGCAAGCGGGCCTGGATGTTCTGCAGCGCCTGGTTCTCCGCGAAGCTGCCGCCGTGCACCTTGAACTTCGGCTGGAAGTTGGTCACCACCGTGAACAGGTTCGTGACGGCGGTGACGACCGTGTCGAAGTTGAAGTCGATGTGGTAGGAGCCGATCTCCGCGGCCAGGGTCTTGGCCCGCTCGCGGGTCTCCTTGCTGGAGTTCTGCGTGCCCATGTAGTTGGTGTGAAAGATGCGGCTGGAAAGGTTCAGTTTTGTCGTCGGCGAGTTGATAAGGTGGTGCTTACTTGCAAACCTCCTGGCTGGTGGACGGAAGCCAGGCTGATCCCTCCGGCTCCGCGCAGAGCCGACGGACATCCTTGATCACCTGCTCATTCCCCTGCTGCACCGCTTTGACGACCTCCCTGCACATAGAGTGCACAATGATGGCCGTCGCACAGCTGTCGATGCCTCCGCTCAGAGGAACGAAGTATCCCGCTGCTCCACTGCGGCGAAGGTAGTCCCACAGCCAGCAGGCCGGACCGAGGGCGATCTCCTCCTCTGGGGCATGGTAACGGGGCTGAAGGACCTCAGATGGGGCAAGACCAGGGTCAGCCTCCTCGCCGGTACGCGACAACCTGAAATCCAGATCGAGACGGACAAAGGGGGTTTGCCTGCTGGCCTGCATGCTGCGGCTCACGCTGGAGCGGTATGAGCGGACCTGTCCGAGTCAGCCGACGCCTCCGCTCGAGGAGCAGAAAGAATACCTCTTCAATGTCCACAGTGGCAGTGACAACCTCGACGTCGTTGAGCGAGAATTGTGAGCCCTGGGCCACGATGTTGCCGTTGACGACGATCATCGCGCACCCGTCGTAGTACAGACGATCACCGTCGCAGCCCTGCTGGTTAGCGTACAGATAAATACCACCACTCTGCAGACCGATCAGCATCTCAACCACACCCGGTTTGGGGATATTCTCACCAATTTAGTCGCCTGCGTGATAAGGTTGACGCGGGTATCGAGCTTCCTGAGTTCGTGGTGGCTGCCCGACGAGTTCGAGATGATCTCCACGCCGGCGAGACCGTAAGGAATATGGGGGCTACATCCATCGATCAGCACGGCCTTCGAACGGGCGGAGAACCGGGTTACCCATTGGGAGTGAACAGCTCCTCGCACGTCTCCAAGCCCAGGCACGTATCCCTGGTGCTGATGACTGCATCACCGAAGGGCACCTTGTACTGGCCGGTGATCTTGCCGACGATCTGCTCCAAGTAGTAATCCTCGATCTCCTGGGGGCGTTGCCAGGGAGTGAAATGCCTCATCTCCCGATAGTTGCCATCTGCATGAGATCGTCAGCGATTTGCGCATCACACAGCATCTGCCTGGAGGACCCCACCATTGGCAAGCCACATCTTCGGCCGGATCAAGATAATCTTGCGGTTGAAGAAGATCACCCTAGTCTTGTCAGACTACCCTCGTATACCCCCGAAATAGCAAGCTCACCGGCAATTGTACCGCACGTTCCGGTGACGAACGGGCATTCTACCATCCTGTCAGCTGCCGTCGCAGACCAGGCTGTCTGACTCGCACAACTCACCCAACATCGACCACGATATCCTGACAGTCAGGGTGGTCGATGATGCGCGCCAGCATCTCCCACGAATGCAGGAACGTGTCGCCCTCGATGAAGGCGTCCAAGCAGCCATAGCCTAGTCCGGTGTCAACGAGTTCCCTTCAAGAACCATAGACCATAGGCGATATACCAGTAATCTCCAGCTCCGGACCGACGCGCAGGGTGGCTCCGGCTGCCTTGGCCTGGCGGATACTTTCGATGATGCGCTCAGCATTGCCCTCGAAGTCGAGAGCCCATTGGTTGAGCGAGCTGCAGGTGGGATGGTTAGAACGGGGTTGCACGCAAGCCAACAACGCGGAGGAGCCACGTACCATGTTGCGAGAGTGACCAGGTGGCCCATTGTTGGAGTTAGAAAGTGGCAACCGACCGATTGGGAGGTGAGGATTGACAGGCTGGAGGGTCTTGGGGCGTGATTGATAAGGGTTGGAGAAATGCCACTGCCCCCCGGTAAGTCGTCGAGATGCACGGTCACGTGTGTGGGGTGCTTCCTGATTGCCCCTCAGTGTATTGGTATTACAGTCCCATAGCCACAATGGACCTCTACATCGGTGTAAATAATGTAATTTAAGTACCAGTGGCGCAGATCCTCGGCACGAAACCAGCTGATTAATCCATCGTTATCGGAGAAGACGAGAGAAGAGAAGAAGTACAAATGCCCATGTCTTCGGGTTCGCAGTTTCTTTTCCTCTCTGACTCGTGCACTGACTGTCCTCAATTACCTTTCTTCTTTCTAACCACTGCAGGCATCGAGTCCTGCATTCCCCTTCCTCCATCACATCACTTAAGAACCACAACCACAACCACCCACAATGACCAGCACCAGCACCGACTCCCTAATCCCCAACCCCGCGCACATCCAAGCCGAAACCATGCTGGCCCGCCAATTCGGCCGCGAAACCGCCAACTACTTCTCCAGTACGTCCCTTGCCCTTGCCCTTGCCCTTGCCCCTCAGAATCCCCCTTAAAACAGCACCCTCCTCTTCCCCCCTCAAATCTAAACCAAGTATCCTAACCGACAAAGGCTCCCCCCTAAACCGCCTCTCCTTCCTCCGCTCCAACCACCCCTTCCTCTCCGGCGCCCTCAACCACCCCTCCACCCGCTTCGTCCTCCTCAAGGACCTCGCCCCGCTCACGCAGACCGCCTCCCCCGCCGAGCCCTACTACGCCCGGTACGACGAGATCCAGCCCCTCGTGCCAGCCACCATCTACGACCAATCCGAAGAGGAGATTCTGGCCGCGTACGACTCGCGCAAGCCGACCCTCGCGACGCCGATTTTTCTAGGGCTGGATGAAAGAACCTCCCCCAAAGATGAGGGGGCGGCATCGTCATTCGCGTGGAAGATCTACGCCGGGACGCCGTATTTCGCGCTGGATGTGAGCGGACCGCGTGGCGGGGAGGAGGCGCAGCAGCAGCAAACGAAAAAAGTGGTGGAGGCGTTGGAGGCGAAGGGGTTGAGCTTTCTGCAGGCGCGCGTGGTGATGAGTTTTGGTGCCGATCAGGGTATGTCCCCTTTGCCTTTTCCTAATTCTGTGGTGCTGGATGGGTGGATGGATGGAAGGCTGATACGATGTCGACGAGTGTAGCGGCGATCTACGCGCAAGCGCGCGCGCTGATCGACTGGAACACGCGCAACACCTTCTGCGGGACGTGCGGGCAGCGGACGATCGCGGTGCACTCGGGGACGAAGCGGGCGTGCCCGGCGACGGACGCGGCGCGGCCGGCGGCGGGGTTGCCGGCGGAGCGGCCAGCGTGCAGCACGCGGACGACGATCTCGAACCTGAGCTTCCCGCGGACGGACCCGACGATCATCGTGGCGGTGATGTCGGCGGACGCGCAGCGGATCCTCCTGGGGCGGTCGAAGCGGTTCCCGCCGAACTGGTACTCGACGCTGGCCGGGTTCATCGAGCCGGCGGAGTCGGTCGAGGACGCGGTGCGCCGCGAGGTCTGGGAGGAGGCCGGCGTCACGCTGTCGCGCGTCGTCATCCACTCCTCCCAGCCCTGGCCGTACCCGGCCAACCTGATGATCGGCGCCATCGCCCAGGTCAGCGACGCCGCGCACGAGACGATCAACCTCGAGCATGACCCGGAGCTGGAGGATGCCAGGTGGTTCGACATCGCGGAGGTGGAGGAGGCGCTGCGGAATGGGGTCAGTGCGCTCGGCGATGGGCCCGGCCCCGAGTATAAGGAGGGCGCGTTGCGGTTGCCGCCGCCCACGGCGATTGCCAACCAACTCATCAGAGCGGCGATCAGTATAGATCTCCTTGGCGGGGAGAAGAACTCGAAGATGTAGAATAGATTAGACAGGGCCTAGACATTTGCTGTGCTTCGTGTGGGGGGTTTGTTTTCTTGGGAAGCGAAATGTTGTTCACGTTTTATATACAAGTACATGGTACCAACACCTCCCACAATTAACACAATTCTGAGTGTTATTGCTGCTGTCTACAACATCTGTTCATCCTATGAGAAAGCCATCGCTATAGCTTCCGGACTCAGACATCCTCACTCTGGCCCTATAGAACGCTTTAGTCAAAAGTGTCACTTCAGAGATTGGCGTACACAGTACCATCGCGGAGTTCGTGGATACTATCACGGCTAGTCGGCGAGCCCACCTCGGCGTACCGCCTGCCATCCCGCAGCTCGTGGATCGTGATGCGACGGTGCGATTTGCGCCGCCGAGAGCCCCCGGCGCCCCGGTTCGAGGTCGACGAGGCTTCGCGCATCTCGCCGCCGCCGCCGCCCGTCGAATTCACGCTCCCCGCGTCGCTCAGCCCGGTGACGCTGTGCGGCGTGGCCTCGCGGCTCTCGCGTTCGACCGACGCCTGCAGCTGGTGATCGGCGACCATCGCCATCCCGTTCTCCTGGTACCACTGGCGCAGGTCCGTGGCGTAGGTCGCCTCCTCGGGGCCGTATTCGACCGGCGGGCCGGAGACCTGCGCGTCGGCGCCGGCCGCGGTGAACACGGCCCAGGCGCTTGTCTCCACGCTGGCGAGCATCATGGCATGGTTGAAGCTCTTGACCTGGAAGTCTCGCAGGAGGATCGCGTCGCCCTCCGCCACGGACGGCAAGGCCGTCTTGTTGGGCCGGAAGATCTGCGCGAAGAGCATGGTACCCGCCAAGGAAGGGTCGGTCAGCCCCAGCGTCAGGATGTAGTCTTTCTTGCCGGACGTTGCCCGGATCACGGGTCGCACCTCGGCGACCGTGGAGATCGTATCGATGAGCCCTCGGAAATGGTCGACCAGGGTGGCCAGCGGCGCGAAGTAGGACAGTTTGCTGCGCAGGCCCGGGTAGTTGCGATTCAGGGCGACGATGCGAGACACGTCGCCCCCAACCAGCATCACCTCGTCCTCGCCGTGCGTGGCATGGACGTCGGTCTCCTTACCTACGTGGCCGCCTTCGTCCCGGTGGAATTCCTTCTGCGACGGTGCAGAGGCATAGCTCTCTGTCTCGGAGCCTTCGTCTACCGAGACGAATTCCTCGCTTTCGACATCCTGCATATCTGCTTCTACCTGTGTGGGCTCAGGAGTCGGCGGTATTTCGTTTGCAGCGGTAGCTACTGACGGAAGCTTTCCCATGCCGATCAGCTGTGAAGGCTCCGGGGTGATCAATTGGTGGTCAAGTTGGAGGCTTGGACTTTGGCGACTCAAATCAGCGGATATAGGCAAGCTCTCCGAGGCACCATCAAGCGACAGGCCTGCATCCACTGGCTGCTGATCTGCCAAGGTTGTTTCATCATCCTCGGGTTGGATCATTGTATCAACCAGGATGTGTTGCGAATCGGGTAAATGAATTGCTGCTGAGAATGTAGCCGACTCAAGGAGTGCAGGGTCAATTGGGAGATCAGCCGAATGCGTGAGAGGGCCAGCGCTGTGGTCGACATGTTCAAAATCAGGTCCACTCGACGAAAAGAATTCTAGACTTTCGTAGCCAGGGCCGTGCATTAGTGTCGTTGTTTGAATTTCTTGAATGCCAGCGGGACTTTCTGGGTTCTGGACTGGGTCCACATCATGATATGGCACAGGCGCAGACCCTGGCTCGTGGACCAATGCTTGCATATGGTCAGCCTGGTCGACTTCCTCTGCGACGTGCTCCTGAATGTATGATTCCTCAAGCTGCACAGTATCAACCTCTTTGGCTTGTGCCTGCTCATCCTCAGACTCTTCAGTCCCAGTATGTTGTCGCTTCACGCTTTCCTCGACGAGGATCTCCCCTCTCGGTTGCTCGTGTTCATCGACCGGCAATCCCTTCATCGTTCCCCCGTAACTTGCATCCTCTGCTTCTGAATGTACATTCCCCATGTCCTCATGGACTGAACGGTTGTCGTTTTCTCGCTCTTCCAGACGTCTTGCCGGCTCTTGTTCTTGCCCATGCCTTTGGTCTCGAATCGATCGTTCGTCAACCTCGGATGCAACATCCCCTTCAGCATCTTCGACCTCAGCATCGGAAGTATAGGGAACATTTGTCTCTTCATCCTCGTCGACCATCTCCTCGTCGTGCACATCTTCGTCGTCTTCCATATCTTCCTCATCGTAAATATCTTCCTCATCATCAACGACTTCCGAGTCTGAAGCCTCATCGTCAAATTGTCCTGATCGTTCGGCGCTTGAAACACTTGCATCTCTCGGCCTTGAGTAAGCCCCAGGGCTCGGCTGTCCAGGCGCAGGTTCATCTTCGCTGTCACTGTCCAAAACAATGATCTCCGGGAAATTCCTTTTCGGTGGGGGCGCCTCGTGCCTGACATCCTCTGGATCCGACTCCGACTCAACACGGTCATCATATCCTTCCCCGTCGTCTTCGTCGTCATCGTACATATCCTCTTCGTCCAGTTCATCCTCATCCTCGTCGACTTCATCCAAATCACCTTCATCGGACACGTCTTCCTCAAAGTGTTCGGATTCCTCGTGGAAATCATAGTGGCCTGCGGGCCCTTCGACACCATGATCTTCCACAACTGATCCTACGTCGTCGTCCGATGCCATATCGCCATCTGTCCTTGGATCGGGGATGGGTTCCGCGTCGTCCGCCACATCCTGTTCATTTTCGTCGGCCAAGTCGACCGATCGAGGCTCGGAGCCTTGGCTGGCAAGCTCGTCTTCAGGCTCCTCAATCGCCGATTCCTCTCCACTCGCGTTCTCAGCTTCAGAGTATTCCTCTTCATCTTGGGGGATATGACGGAGTTCTTCCTCCTGGTCGTCTATTTCGCCATGGAAGGTCTCATCTTCGATTTCAGTCACGGTCCATTCAGTTGGCAATGAGTCGGCATCCACCATTTCCAAATCCGCATCTCTCTCTGGCGACGGAGCTTCAGCAGCCAGGGCAGGTGTTGATACATTCCCTTCCACGCTCCCCGCTTCCTCCACGATTGAAAGCCCCGAGTCTTCCATGAGCAGCTCAGAGACAGGGGCTGGCTCAGCAGCTTCATTGCTGGGAGTACCTGTGGCACCCCCTGTTAACGGCCCTTGGGCTTGAAATTCAATAGACTCGATCGCGATCGCTGCACGAGACCCAGCCTCGCTTTCTGCGTACGAAGATTCCCGGGCTAAGTCTGACTGCGGTGCAGCTAGCTGAAACGGATCAGACGTAGCTGGCTCGGACGTGATTGCAACCGAACCAAAGTACCCCTGCGGGCTATTTGATGAGCTAATCAGTGGAGAGGGAATTGGCAGACCCGGAGAAGGAATCGGATTTAGCCGCGGAGTGTCTGTGGGAAGGTGGCCAGAAAGACTTGAAATAGTCCTATGCATATGACGCGAAAACTCAAGCCGCCGAGAAAGATCCGGCCGAAGAAATTGCGCATCCGGCTTCGGTTGGGCCTTTTCCGGGGTATTATCCTCACGAGCCTCGGGCGTCTCCGACATTCGGTCTACATCTGAGACTGCACTTGTAGGTTCTTCTTGGACCGTAGGGACAGAAGGCAGCTGATCGGTCCCGCCGGTCTGAGGCGACACGGGTACCGTCGGGACTTCCGGGGAGCCATCCGCTTCCTCAGCGGCCTCTTCCAACTCCGCCGCCGCTTGGTTGAGCCAGGCCTCGTCGTCGAACATAGCCGTCCAGTCCCCCGGTATTTCCAGATCCTCAGGACTGGCTGGTTCGTCCACCAGCCGCCAGTCATTGCGTATACTGAACCGCGTCCGTTTCCTCCCCTTGCCCGGAACGAATCCATCATCCTCCGCGAAGGGATCAAAGGCCGGATGCAAAGCCGAGCCAGCTATATGACTTCCGATCGACGTTCTTGAGTGTCCCAGGAAAACGGGCGATTGCCAGGTCGCCGAGTTGAGGCCGCGGGGGAAGGCACTGCCTCTCGGATCGGGGGTAGTCGGTGTGGGCGTGGTACTCTCGGCAGCGGGCAGAGGCGACAAGGGGGGATCGATCTTGACGGTGGAAAGGTGTTGATCGGAGCGCCATACCTAGAACGCAATGAGCCACCACCATTTTCCGGGCTCTCTGTGGGTTCACTCACCTCGACCAGAACCGTGGTCTCGAAATGCACATCCCAGGCGACGCTCTTGCCCGGGGTGAGAACTTTCGGGTCATTGTCGGTCAGCCTGGATCCGTTCAGGCTGAGATACACATTGTCGCCGATCCCAACCTGCGACTTGGCGACCTCTTCCGCGACGTGTCCGTGGAAGACGACCCTCACTTGTCCGCCAGACCGCCGGAGCCGAAAGTCGGGCTCCGCCAGAAGCAGACTGATCGACCGCGTGGACGATGAATACGGCCATAGCAGAGCTACTACACCGCGCACGGATTTGTTGGGTAGATTGTCGAGCGACGGGGCGAGCTGCGCAATGGAGACCGGGGTCGATTGAAGGAGTTCGGAGACCGGAGCTTGTTGTTTATCGTGGGCGTCCATCGCTGTGGCCGCTTAGTGGTCATGCGCGTTCCACATTGCCTGAGTCATAGGTACTGGCTGTCCTGAGTTAAGAATAGCCACCCAGGTGGAGGGGTTGTGCAATGTTCGACAAGAGCTGGAGCACAGGGCCAAAAAAAATTTGGTTTCTTGTTTGGATGGCAGCACGCGCGGGAAATCGAAAGGATGCGGAGAGGAGGAAGGAGAAGGAGAGGTTGTTGCGTCACAGAACCCGCGTATTGGAGCTGTAATATTACAGACTTTTCTTTGTTGTTGCCGCAGCCCACCGCAGAGTGGAGTCGGTAATGGTATGTCAACCCCATGGCACATTGTTCCAGGCTCTCCCACATGTGATGGAACAGGATTGATTTAGAAAGAAAAACATGATTGAAGTTCCCATGATTGAAAATCCCTGTCAGCTTCAGGAATATCCTTTCTGCATGTCGAAGCATAGAGTCGAACATCCAGAACAGTTACTTGATCAGCCCATTCCCGATGACGGAGCACGAAATTCACCGCCACAATGTAGTCATCGGCCACTGGAAGCCGCCGTGAACTACTACATTTCCCTTATCTCCTGCGTCGGCATATCTCCTCATCGTGCTCTTTCACAGAACAATGACACGATCAGGACGGATCAGCCAGATAGCCGTGATCGGCGCAGGGCCCTCTGGTCTCGCCGCAGTCAAGTATGAATTTGCCCCTCCCCGGACCTCGACCTCCAGATTCGACCGCTAATCAATAGCCCAGATACTTGCTTGCGGAGAAATATTTCGAGAAGATTGATGTCTTCGAGCAAAGGGCCACGGCCGGTGGCGTCTGGAACTACACTCCAGGTCCTCTGAAGGACAATCTCACAAGCACTGTACCCCAGACCGACCCCCACCAGCCTCCGGAAGGGCCAATATGGCACACCTCCGAGGGGCGGCAGGAGCCTACTTTCGTCTCCCCCATCTACGAAGCACTGGAGACGAACCTTCCCAAGGAGATCATGCGGTACAGCGACAAACACTTCGACGCGAAGACGCAAGTAATGCCCAAGCATGCCACCGTGAAGGATTATCTGCATGACTATGCAGAAGAGATCCGGGGTCTGATCCAATTCGAGACCCAGGTCTCGGACGTCCGAAAAGACGTCCTTGGCGCGGAGGGCTGGTCGGTCACCACGAAGAACCTGCGCACGGGAGACACAAGAACGGACCCGTACGATGCCGTGGTGGTTGCTAGCGGGCACTACGATCTTCCGTTCACGCCCGACATCGCGGGCATCAAGCAGTGGAACGAGGCATATCCCGGGGTCATCCTGCATTCCAAGCTGTATGACTCTGCCGAGCAATTCCGTGACAAGAAGGTCATCGTGGTGGGCAGCTCGGCGTCGGGCCTGGATATCGGGAACCAGATCAGCCCCGTGAGCAAGGGCAAGGTCATCGTGTCCGAGCGAAACCAGTCGCTTCTTGCGTCCTCCGCGGGGGACACCAGCAAGGTGTATCGTCCTCAGATCGTGGAGTTTCTCCCGCCTGACTCCCACCGCAGAGCCGTTCGCTTCGAGGACGGCCACGTTGAGGCGGACATCGACGCCATCGTCTTCTGCACCGGATATCTGTACACATATCCTTTCTTGTCGGCGCTGGACCCGCCGCTCATCACCAACGGCCGTCGGGTGGTGAACACATATCAGCATCTGTTCTACCTCCACGACCCCACCTTGGTGCTCAGCGCCCTTCCGCAGCGAATCGTTCCCTTCCCACTGTCGGAGAACCAGGCGGCGGTTTTTGCGCGGGTGTTCTCGGGTCGCCTGAGTCTGCCCTCGGAAGATGCAATGAAAGAGTGGGAACAGTCGACTGTTCGGGAAAAGGGCGAAGGGACCCCCTTTCACCTTCTCCCCTTTCCTCAGGATGCGGACCATATAAATTTCTTGCATGACTGGGCGGCAGAAGCCGAGCCCCGACCGGGACTCGACAATGGAGGCAACGGCAAACCGTGCAATTACTGGGGCGCAAGGGAGAGGTGGATTCGAGGGCAGATCGCGGAGATCAAACGAACGTTCGGACAGAAAGGAGCCGAGCGTGGGTTGATCAAATCTCTCGCACAGCTGGGTTTCGACTTCGATAGATGGAGAAAGGAGCAGGAGAACCCGGCCGGTGCATCTCGTCTTTGAAACTCATCAAGCCTAGATATCCATTACTTAGAACTTCATTAAACTTAGATAAGCATTGCTACACGGAAGACGAATACAAATTCTACGCACAACCTTGCTATGACAATGACCAGCCCCAAGAACAATGGGTAACGAAAGATATATCTCTCCAGTTCTTGGTAAACCTACCCCGAACCTCTCACAACCCACAATCAACCTTGCAACCTATAGTTCCGGCTCAAACAAGGCAGCCTCCTCATCCCACCACTTGCTGAAAGTGACCAGTCTCTCAGTCCGCTCTTTAGCCATCTTCAGCCCCACGTCCGTCTACAGATCGAGTCAGCCTCGTCACTTCCTTACGCCATCAAACAGTCGCCTCCTCTCCACAAACCACAAACCAAAAAAAAAAAAAAAAAGCAAGCACATACCTTCATCATCCCCCCCAACTTCACCAACTTCTCATCAATATGAGTGCGCGACCTCTGCATACTCGCATCCGGAACCCTCGCACCGCCATACGTAAACATCCTGCCCACCCCAATCGCGCCCAGGGCATCCAACCGATCCGCGTCCTGCACCACCGCCAGATCCGGATAATCCTCCAGGACCTCCCTCACCTTCTCGGGGTTTTTGACTTCCGTCGAGTACGAAACATGGTTGACCACCTGCTCGACGTGCTCGATCTCGTCCTCCGCGACGCCCGCCTCCCGGAGCACGACGGCGACTTTGGACACCTGCTCCTCCCCGGAGGTCGACGGCGGGGGGGCGTATTTCTTGTCGTTGACGTCGTGGAGCAGGCTTCGGGGATGCGATGCGTAAGAGATGATACACCGCGAAAAGGGGGGCAGACTTACGCGCTCAGAAGAATGAGGTCGGGCCGGTACCATTCGTGGCGCTCGGACTCGGCCTCGAACTCGGCGGCCAGGATCTTCGAGGATAGGGCGACGACGCGCAGGACGTGGTGGAAGTCGTGGGAGGCGTCGTACTGGCTCATGTGCTGCTGGACCGCGCCGGCGACGGACTCGAAGACCGCGTCTTCTTCGACGAGGTACCGCCCGTAGTTGGACTGGCGGGCTGCCTGCAGGATCTGGCGGAAGGTGTCCATGATGGGTTTTGGGTGGTGGATTGTACTGCCCTGTACTTGAAAGTAGGCGGTTTGGTGTGCTGTGGGCAAGGTTAGAGTTGCATGGCTTGTGATAGGGGTTCCTTGGGGATATGTACTAACAGAGAATATTCTGAATATTCGAAGAGGACAATTTCAATGGCTGAGGGTTACGAATTCGCTTCGAAACTCTGTGTTGTTGCTGTTGTTGCGGGCTCTTTTTTTTTTTAATATTTTATTTTTCTCCCCCGCCCGCCCTTTGATAGTCCGATTTCTCCGCATACAGTACAGTAAGTTACGGAGTATCTCGATGGGATCTAATCGGCGGCCCGGATCAAAGAGGTCTAGTCTGTCCCTGCCTAAGGCTCCCAAGAGGGGCTGCCTGTCTGCACGGACTACTGGGAACTACGAAGTGCTCTCCCTACCTAGTTCGGGGTGTTTCCAATCTTATGCGAACGCCAGTTCTGACCATGAGCTTCAGACTTACATTTCGGGCAAAGCTTCTTATTGTTGTTTGCCTATCTTGCTTTTGGCTGGTTTCGACGAGCTTAGGGCTAGGGGTATCCAGTCCGGACTGTCCCTTCTCATGGAGCTCCTCACCAGGAAGCATACACGAGCCGATTGCGTGGATCAGGGTCTTACTACTATGGTCTTCGAAGCATGATCAATCAACGAACCAGTATCTTACAGGATTATCTGTAACACTAGAACCCTGTAAGGCTGCTGCTCGACTTTGAACATCTCTATGTCTCTCGGGTTACTGATACAACACGGCTGATAAGGGTCGGTTATGGTTCAGGTGAGGACGCTTGAAAGGCTTGCGCTCTCGACTTGGAATATCATATAGATCAGTGGCTAGCAGCCCGGGATTCATATGCTAAGTACGAATGTGATGCTGTACCTAATATAGTGGGAAGATGGACCTGCCTCCAATTCTCCGTGTAGACCCCTCTTTTACCGAGACAAGTAGAAAGGCTATGAACGAACCGACACAGACAATTGAAGAACCTTCTGAGCGATTCCAACATTGTAATACTCTGCTTATCCCCGGCTTATGGAGGCTGACTCTGCTTGTTCCCTTCGTCCTTAGCCCTAAATGACTATACCCGAGGAGCATCACCGGCCGTTCCGCGGGCATCCCTGTCTGGTCAACCGTCAATTCCAACGGGGGGAGCGCAGAATCTTGTGAAACCGTCTCGAGGCTAACAAAAGCTAAGACACAAGCGACTCCACAGCTTCAAGAAAGAAATCAATCCCAATCAACCGATCCTTAATCGGTAGCAACCCCGGGGCCTTCTCTCCAAGCTCCGGATGACCGACTGATAAGGACCATCACGTGCCGGGGATCGCCCACGTTGTTTCCCGTCGACCTCCTCATCAACCACCACTTTCATTCACTTTCACTGCCTTTCAACCCTCCCCGAAGCCCGCCTACAGACCCCTTATAGACTCCTCCCCCCCTAAAGAGCGCAGTCTTCTACTTGCAATCACCGTCGCTACTTCGGACTTAACACCTCTCGGACTATCTCCGCCGCACTCCTTTTTTAAACTCCCAGCGTTTTATTGTTCCACTGTCACACCACCATGGATTATCCCACCTCGGCCATGCTTCCAGTCCGCGCATAATGTGGCGCAAGCGCAAACTGTCCCCTCACCAAGACAACAACCACACCAATATATCACGCAAGAAACGCTGGAAGGAGAACTATACTATCGTGTCGAGCGACGACTCGGACGACTCGGACGACGAAAGTAATCCCCTGGACGACGACGAATACTATATCAACTGTATACTCGACGAGACGGAGTCTCAATACCTGATCGATTGGGAAGGACCTTGGGAGCCCACTTGGGTAAATATATACATACGATCTCTCTGTGATAAGGCCCTGTTCTAACTGCTTGAATGTGTGATTAGGAACCAAAGGAGCACGCCAACGCAATTGCTGTTGAGACCTGGGAAAGGACGAAGAAACAGAAGAGTTGCGCTCAGAGTGAAGGCACACATCCGAGTAATACTCCACCGACGCAGTTGTCTTCCTCCCGCTCACAGACGCACAGCGCGGAGCAGCTGGTTACCGACCCTGTTGCTTCCGCACCCTCTCCGGAGCACACAAACAACGACCCGGGTTCGCCTTTGTTTGTCCCCTTCGACGGTACACCAGAGTTGCAGACCACTGAGGCGTACGGCTCGGCTTCAACAAGCCATTCGAACACACATTGTTCGGCGCCGTCCGAAAACACGCCGCGACCTTCATTCCGCGAACGCCAGTTGCAGGTCTTTCAGGAAGTGCCCGCAACACCCGTCCCCACCGAACTCCGCCTGCCCGGCGAGTCTCCAGACGCTCGATCCGTAGAACATTCGCGAACGGTGACCCCTGCCGCCAACTGTCACACGTGGGAAAGCGTTAGTGTTGTGAGTACTGTCCTGCGCGCGGGACTCTATCAAGGCAACACTGTCGGCTCTTCTGGATCCCAGCGGCCGGTGGATCGGGTAACAAGCAACCACGCGAGCGCCGTGGATGAAATACCGGAGACGCCATTTGGCCCATTCAGTAAATCCGAGAGTCAAACGGCGCGTTCAGCTCCCACATTTAATAGCGCAAGCTCGCAGTATTCAGTAATCTCTGCCAAGAACCCTCTAAGCGCAAGTACGCCGGTCTCGCAGCAGTTTTCATCACTTCATTATCTGTCGCAAGGTGATAGTCATGAATCTAGTCTATTCTATACTGGCTAACCGTTGGACAGGTAGCAATAGCGCTGGTCGCTTAGGTTCTATACCGGAGTCAGTCACGGCGCGTGTTTCGCAAGCTACGAAGGTCTTGTCTGCCAGTAAGCCAAGCTGCGAATTCGCCTCCGTGACAAACACACGGGGATCATCTGTGAAGATGGATGGTCAGGACAAAAAAGGTATGTCTCTGGCGGAGACGATGGAAAAATACAGCCAATTCGAAGGGAGCACTCCGAGGGAGAAGCTCCGGAATGCATATGCCCAGCTGCGAGCGCAGAATGCGGTACCCCCGGAGCCAAGCGCCACGCCATCTTCGGTGGGTGAGGCTGGCGACATCGAACCATCGCCTGTCGCTTTGCCCGAATCCGCCGCCCCACTCAGCGTGAGGATCGACAAACCCTCGGCCTCTCATCCTGAACATCATTCTCCCGTGGAACCCCCGCCTGTCATCCCCTCGCCACCCCTGGAACCTGCACACATGGATCCCACTCAACTCCACGATATACACCACGATCTACACCACGATCTACACCACGATGTACAGACTATTCAGCCGCATGCGTTATCAGTCGACCATACCGAGGAGTCGATTCCAGGATCTGTTCTGCTTGGTCCATCGGAATTTGCCATCTCGCTCCCTATGGACTCGAGGGTCAAGGATGATTACGAGCGAGTCCTTACCAGCGAGAGTGATTCCATCCAGGAATTCATCAATGGCACTAGCACACAAGCAGACCAGGTACTATGAAGCAGCCCCCACCTGAGCCTTGTAGAAACTGACCATCCCACAGCGCGTGCGTCTACTGCCCAAAATAAAAGAGGTGTTGGAGTGTCTGAGCAATGTCGCCACCCATCCAGACTTGAACGTCACCAAACATCTCAACGACTCGCAGGCGGACCTGCGGCAAGAGGCCTCATGGGCGGAGTACTCGAGTGCCAAGTTCCTGCTTCTCTCCTACCTCGTGGGGTCTACAAGTGATCGCGACATACACTTGGTCATCATGGTGAATGGCGAAAAGACCCAAAACGTGGTCGAGCGATTCCTGCTGGGCAAAGGCCTCGCATATACCCGCCCGCGCGAGGAGATGGGTCCTGGCACGAATGTCGAAGTGTCTCTGGCCAAGGGCTCGCTGAGCTTTGGGGTTCAGTCAACTCGCAATGACGGCATCGTGGAGACCTACAAAGCCCCTTCTGCAATCATCGCCCTAGACTCCTCATTCAACACCAAGATCCCCTCGGTGGAACACATGCGGACCACATTCGCTCGCCACGGGCATCTGCTTCCCGTCGTCCGCCTGATCGTGTCCAATTCCAGCGAACACATCGAGCTTTGCTTCTCCAACTTACCCGAGCTCCAGCGTGTGCATCTGTTGTTGCAATACACCACGCGTCTGAAGAACTCGGTAGGCGACCTCCAAGACGATGCGCTTGGGGTATCTGAAGACGCAGAAGAGCTTGTCTCGTATCTGTCGTCCGACAACCTCAACGCGCACTGGTCGCTACCGGACATTGAGCCTCTGCACATTGTGGATCTGGAAGCACTGCAACCCGTGCCTGAGGAGCCACCAAGCCGACCGGATGTTGAGTTTTCTCCCATGGCCACGCCTCTCCTGCAGAAACGCGCATTCGTAAGTTCCCGCTCACCCGGACGCAAGTTCCCCGGACCTAAAACAGAGATCACACAGACGGAAGACTCCAGCGAGCAAACCGCCAAGCGGCCCAGGATAGAGGAACCGCAAGATGCCAGCCAACTCACCGAGTCGACCAAATTCCCCAGCCAGACCCTCGACGGCGAGCTCAGATCACTGGAGAGCAACCTCGTTCAGTTCCGCAGTTCGCATGCGAACGAAGTCCAAAGACTCCAGAAGACGCTCGCTGAAACCCAGGCCCGCCTGCAAGAACGCGACCATGTCCTGGAGCAACTGCAGCACCGCTACGAGACGCGCACCAGGGACTTCCACAAGCTGCGCCGCGAGAGGGACAAGCTCGTCGAAGCCAAGACGCTGGCCGAGCAGCGCAGCGAGAAGAGCAAAGAGGAGCTGACTAAGATCAAAGACGAGCGCACGCAGCTGCGCCACGAGCTCGAGCAGGCGCGCGCGGCTCTGAAGAGCGATGCCGGCAGCATGGCCGCGGAGCTGGAGACCGCGCGCGAGGAGATCCGCCGCCTGACCAAGGAGAACAGCGGGCTGGAGCGCAAGGCGGACTACGAGGCCAAGCAGACCGAGTACACGCGCGAGCAGTACCAGACCGCGTCGAACGTCGCGGCGCAGTCCAGCAACGAGAACCGCCAGCTGCGCGACGAGAACGAGACCCTCAAGCGCAAGGTGGCCGGCGACGCCAGCCGGCTCCGCGAGCTCAACCTCCAGCACGACGAGGCCCGCCACCTGGCCCGCACCCTGGAGCTGGAGGCCGCGCTCGCCTCGCGCGAGGACCTCCTACGCCGGAAGGAAGAGGAG